GTGGGTCACCTTCAATATGTAAAGTGCTTTGATAATCTTTAGGATGTTGTACAGTTTAGGGAATAAGATTTCCTTAATTCATTGATCCTTTTAAATGTAGAGTTGAGAGCCCCTAATAACTAAATTAATCACCTGGGAGATACTGTAAAGCCTTTTTTCATCCTATTGTTCAGCGTGTAGTGTTTGGCAGGGTTTCCAATGCTATTAATCATATTAAACAAGGCAAAAATGACTAGGAACCAGCTGAGTGGCAATCCATGATGAGGTTGACAAGCACAACTGTCTTTGTTAAGGGGAAAATTAACTTTGTTCTCTCTTGTATTCAACTTGCCTTTTTATTTCAAGAAGTTGCTCTATAAAATGTATATTCTTACCATTAGTAAGAATTATTATACTGTAACTGCCTTGATGTTTATAGGGTTATATTTCTTTGATCATTTATTATATTGTAACATTAAGTACTGTATGTATTTTTATTAGGATTGTTAGGTATGTACAGTGTTTTATTAGGATTTTACAGCTGCCTGCTTCTTTTCAACTTAACGTTTCAAAGATAACACTTCCTGCGTATACTGTATGTATTATTTATATTGTTGCTTTTGTTATGCATAGTTTCAGCATCAGAACACTGCCAAGATACTATGAAATAAATACACAATTAAGGCCTTTTTTTTGTTGACAACAAAACAAACGATTTCTTTATCCCTTTTTTTTAAAATTCACTGTGCGGAATATTTAATGTTAAACTTTTCATTGTAGTTATGGTAGGGTATGTGGAAAACTACACTAAGAAAAAGAAATGAGAAGAAAATATATTTTGCTTGCTCTAGAAATCATGTTTTTACATGATTATGTTACAAATCAATGAATGTGGGAAGGGCTGTGCAGCACATTGGCATCCTTGTTAACTTTGAGCAATTGTAATGTTTTTCAGTTCTATTTTTACAGCTGTAATAATTATGGAACATTTGGTTTAAGAACACGTCACGAATTGAATTGTCAACACACCCACTGCTTTTCTTGGAAAAAAATGAAATGAAAATTCCACAAGCTTAATATATCACCATACACTTGACTGTCTCTGTGATTTATTGAGTTCATAAACTCGTAACTTCTCATTATTGATGAATGATTTGCTGGTGGTTTATCACAGGCTCAAGTAATCGAAATCTAGATATATCGGCAACACTTAAATTGCAACAGTCAGTCAAAGTATTAAAAAAAAGAAATATTGTAACTCTCTTTCAAATAGACAAATCAACCTAAAACAAATGGGGTAGTGTTTTTATTGAGGCATACCCCCGTAGAGTCAACAAACACATCAATGCAATGAAAGGGCTAGCAGGGATATACTGTACAGTACATGTGTAGGAGAGACTGATCCCAGCAGGTAAATAGGGATTGATATTCCAGTAAAAATTGCAGAAGATCATATAATCTCATCAAAGCCGCAGTTTGTTCATTTGCAGAGCTGGGAACAAGATTTGGAGAATAAGTTACTCTTGCTGGTGGCTCATTGACCAGAACCCATCTGCAATTCTGTTCCAATATGTTTACATCTTTAAAACAAGTGTAAAAAGAAGTTTATGATCTTGTGTGCCAGCTTGCTTGTAGAATATTTAATTGAATAGTTTTAAGAATTCAAATATACTGTATTCTTTGGGGCCACATTAAGACTATGACAGGCCCCGGGCCCCTCCAACACAAATCACTCCCAACCAACAAACAGAACTGTGCCCTACTTCAAATCTTGAAAACAGAACTTACGGTTAGAATCATTTCTTAATAGCACAATATTATAGGCTACTATAAGTGAAGTCTTCCTGCATACTGGCTGACATACTGTACGAATTTCGGCCGCTTCAAAAACGCTTTTAACACCGCCACAGAGAGTCTTCTCAACAAACACAAAGCGTATTCCTACCTTTATTTCCACAACAACAGACTCAACCACTGCCCACTCTAAAACACAAGCAGCATTGCAGTAAGAATGCAGTTAAATAACGCAAATTGCACAAAATCATCTCAAATACAAATAGGTGTTTTACTCCTACACAGTGGGAGGACCATGGCTGGTAGCCTAGCTGATATAACTGGTCAAGACAAGGTAATCATGTTGACCAGTGGTTAATACAAATAACGGTAGAGGCTCATGTTCAGTGAGAAAAACAAAACATCTTATTTGCCATCAGTAAAGCTGAAAGCAACGCATGTGAGCTGAACCGAGCTTTTAAGAACGGTGGTCGGAAAACAGTTTTGAGTGTGTAGAAAGATGTTGCTGTCGAAGCACTGCATACTACGGCCAGTTTCAATGTTATTAAATAGACTACTGCAGGCATTGCTTAAATGGTTTTGTGGTGTTCTGACAGCAGTCTCTGAACAGTCCATTTCTGAGGCCTGTTCCTCTTATATTAGCAACATGAGGAATCGGCATGCAACTTTGTACATTTCCATAAATCGAATCCAATCAAAGACGAACCGGTGCACTGCCGAGTGGATAAACGCACCCATATGCGCTATATACTGTAAAGCACACAGTCTACGAAAGAAATTCATAGACACCGTCCAAACGAAATTATAGCAAGCACAATTAAGTTAGAAAACTTTACAGAGGTCGAACAGATATGCCACGGTTGTCATGGAAATAATAACATGATGTAAACAGGTCTAATTTAGTCTAATATTCAATTTAGCCCTACCTTTGATGTATTTTGAGTTGGCGTGCGATGTTTGGTGTACATCACAAAGCAAATACGGCGGGTCTTGGCTTTGAATATGATAACTGCAGAATTGGAACTGTCGAAGCGTGCTTTTTTAAATCAAATTTGTTTTCCATAATAAACTGATTAACGTTGGCAAGCTGGTATGCGAGTAGCTCACTCGATGTTGCACCACAATATTTTTATTTTACTTCAACGTCAAGAGTTTGATAGCGACTTAGCCAATTATAATCACATTGACCTCCCCATTTTATTTGTTTCGTTTTTTTATTGGTTAGAAACGCTATGACAATCGTCACACCGTCAATTTTTCTTTTAATTGACTGGGTCAGAGAGGAATCTCTCTTTGACAGGGTGTGCCAGGCTCACCCGTAGCTATGCCCCTGAAGGGATTTTTTTTTTTGCACAATTGGGATGGGCAGGGAAATGACCCAACGGAATATTTGACTGAGAGATATTATTAACGGTACATGGATTAATTTGAGTAATCTACTGTAGTATCCTAATTATACCCAAGTGCCCCATGCGCAACCCCGGTAAACCCGATACGGTTTGAGCCCCGGTAAGCCCGATACGCCCTGACTGTATTTCAATTGGTTTTTATCATTTCGCTTGCAAGACTAATTTCCTATGCCATTTAAATGTTCTTAGGGTCATGCAAATAGTTTACCTACAGTATCTACTTAAGCAGACACAGTGTACACTTTTACAAAATAAACAAAATGGGTTTTTAGATATAAATGTATGATATGTTTGTATAGTTTTATCTAGAAAGAACTTACCAGTGTTGCTTTGTTTGAGGTTTTGATGATGCTATTTCTTCAAACGTTATTACACTTATTGAGGAGGTACAGTTCTATAAAGGTTGCAGGTAATCATCAAACAAGTTCTAGAGGAGCATTTGCTCTCTTACTATAAACATAGTATAAACATAGTACCTACTGAACATATATACCTGATTTACTCATTGTGTATTTACTCACCTGCTGGGCACTCCTTTGGTATATATTTTTGGTACTAAAGCTTTACGTTATCGTTAGAGACTGGTGACATTTGGCAATACTAGGCCTTACCTTTCTTAGAAGCATGGCTGAGCATCTCCCCACCTCCACCCTCTCATCTGTGATTCTTACTCCTATTCTTTCCCCTCCACAGGCTTCACATGCCTCAGCTATGGACCTCAGTGACCATAGCTTTAGCTGATATTTCTGTTCAGAGCCATAATTTTAATGGCACCACTTTAGCTGTTATTTCTTTCTTCCTTTGGGGGTTCCGCAAGTGATAACTCGTAACGGGGACCTACAGTATGCCACTGCTACGTCATTGCAGCTGACATCAGTACAGCATGTTCCGCTACTAAACACAAATTCCAGTTGCAAGCAATTTAGGTTTTGTGTACTTTACTGTCACCTGTTCACTAACTCAAATGCCATAAACTGCAGTCATACGTGGCTCTCATCCATGTCAAATCTGAAACTTTGCATATCTGAACTGACTCAGTCATACAAAGCTCATGCACAAATAGGTCCTTCATTGAAGAAACCTACATTGGTGTTTTGGGGTTCCTTTAATCCCTTTTGGGGGATTTGGCAGTCTTGTCCTTATAACCAGGGATATTATTTCTTCAGCCACATAACTGAAATATAGTGTTGTGCCAAACAGTGAAATATTAGTTATGTTATCCCTATTTATTAATGTCACCTTGTCTCATTATATTTATAATTCGTGAAGTCAGTGTTTCATCTAAACCATCTCAGGGGTTTAGAGTAGAAAAACTAAGACAACAAACATCCTTTTTAGTATTAAAAAGATACCAGAAACTATTTCACCAGTAGTGTTAATCATTACATAGATCATAAAGGTAGATGGTTAAAGTAACGGGTGTAAGTCATGTTTCTTGTATCATGTCTTGCAATGAGATCACAGTTGTGCAGTTAATATACCAGTAGCATAGTCTAAATTGTTCATTGATTTATATTATTATGAGGTTTACGATTGGGGTCAGAAATATTGGTCTTTTTTAAATTGGTATAAAGCTGCTGTCTAGTGAACATGTAATGTTTGTGACTTTTCTTCAGTCTACACTGGCAATGTTATCTCTGTGTCACTGATGCTCTGCATTGTGTCACGTGTTGTGGCATGTCAAGAAGAATTAGTGATTTTGAACCTCACAGTAGCATAGAAAGTGGTGTTCATTTGCCTGAAGAGCTTTTTATTGTCATATTTTATAAAACAGAAAGTTTTTTTTTATTAACTTGCATTCATGTTTTGTATTCACAGCCCCTTTTTCACCCCCAGATGTGGACAACGTTGTGAAGTTTGATGCTTTTGGGGATGGAATGGGTCGTTACACTATATTTAACTACCAGAAAACAACTGAGAAATACTCATATGTTAGGGTGGGGCAGTGGGCAGAGACTTTGACCCTGAACACTGAAATCATTCATTGGCCCAAACACTCAGTCCCCACCTCCCAGTGTAGTGACCCCTGTGCCAGAAATGAGATGAAGAAAATGCAGGCAGGGGAATACTGCTGTTGGATTTGTACGCCTTGTGAACCTTATGAATACTTGGCTGACGAGTTCACCTGCATTGCCTGTAGCCCCGGGCAATGGCCAACTGAAGACTTGACAGGCTGCTTTGATTTACCGGAGGATTATATCATGTGGGAAGATGCCTGGGCGATTGGTCCCATTACCATAGCCTGTGTTGGCTTTATTTGCACCTTTATGGTAATGGCAGTTTTTATTAGACACAATAACACTCCACTAGTTAAGGCCTCTGGTCGGGAACTCTGCTATATCTTGCTGTTTGGTGTCTTCATGTCCTACTGCATGACCTTCTTCTTTATTGCTAAGCCATCTCCAGCAATATGTACCTTACGTCGCCTTGGCCTTGGGACTTCCTTTGCAGTATGCTACGCAGCTCTTCTTACAAAGACTAACCGCATTGCCAGGATATTCAATGGTGTGAAGGAGGGAACACAGAGGCCCAAGTTCATTAGCCCTAGCTCACAGGTCTTTATCTGCATGAGCCTTATATCAGTCCAGATTGTGATTGTGTCTGTTTGGCTTATGCTGGAAGTGCCTGGCACTAGAAGGTTCACTCTGCCAGAGAAGAGAGAGACTGTTATTTTGAAATGCAACGTCAGAGACTCCAGTATGTTAATATCACTGTCATATGATGTAGTGCTTGTAATTCTATGTACGTATTATGCCTTTAAGACCAGGAAGTGTCCTGAAAACTTTAATGAGGCCAAATTCATTGGCTTCACAATGTACACCACCTGCATTATCTGGCTGGCCTTCCTCCCAATTTTTTATGTGACCTCCAGCGATTACAGGGTAAGTTGATTATTCATACCATGCGCAATATCACACGTCACAAGTGACTACTCAAGGGTTTGCACTCATTTCGATGCTGCTAAAGGGACATATTAAATTCACTATCAGAGTCTATCATAAGCTACAGATATCGTCTACAATAGCACAAATAGATTTACAAGTGGGATCAGGCCTGGACAAAATCAAAACTTCAGCTAACCCAATAATTACGAATTACAAATCCATTGTTCAGTTGCAGACACTCTTTTCATTTAAAGAAGAATCCTCTCGAAAACCAAAACAAAAAGTGTTTCAATTTACAAGTTGGAGTGGGTCTACATTTTCTTTGGTTCTGACCTAAAGGATTTTGTAAGAAATTTGTAATTTATTGATTTAAAGGCATTTGGCACCGTCATCGACTTATTTTAAACACTCAGTATGTAAGTTAAAGTTCCTTCTTTGTAATCAGTCCTTTAGTCCTTTAAAATCAAGGGTCAATTGAAAGTGGCCTTTTAGCAATTGAGGATGCACAACCCACTTCTTGGGCTCTGATATTCTATTTTAAAACTACATGTAAAGAATAAAGAGCAGCAACAATATGTAAAAATTTGAGCCTCTGGTTTGTGTGAAATTGGCTAATTCTTGCTTCATTAATAGAGTGGAATTCTTAAACCTGAACTATATGTTTTCTGTTTTCATTGTTTACATGTCAAGATAATCATGGTCAATACCTAAATACAATACTTAACGGCCAATAAAATACTTTATTTTGTAGTTTACATCAAGCTGATTTTTGAAGCACTGGAAGGCAGCCAACATGAGTTGATAGCAGAAATGTTGAAAGGGGAAAAAAGCAAAGAAGTCACTTCCAAGCAGTTTTACATTCCTTGAAATGTTGCCAGTGAGAGAAAATTAAAACCATTAGGAATATTCTCAAAGCAATGATTTGCATTAAATATGCAATTATAAGGTTTATTTATAAACTTAGTAAAATATGTGAGAATAGAGCTTATGATGTTGTACTATTTGCAGTTGTTTTATCTTTCGTCTTATGAATACTATAATTTGCCAAGAAATGCTGATTATTCAAAAAAATAAAAAGGCAGCTTCACATGCAGCTTATGTGTGTGATATTAGAAATAATTATTAAGGCAAGGAAAAAATATACTATATAATTCAAATCACACTCTTTAAATGGATATCTGTTGTTTGCTAATGAAATATTATCTAATGTAATATCAGATTGACAGGCTATAATGTTATTAGTGAACAGGCATCCGATTACAAATTTCCATACTGCTGCAGCACCTACAGCATGTAATGCAAATACAGGCAATGATATTGTATTGGTGAATACTATGGCTCCTGGGAAGAAAATACCACATGGAAAGAGTGTAGAATTCAGTTTGAGTTAATGAAGTTCACTTCCTTTGACAGAGGCAACCCAATTTTATGTTTTACCCAGTGCTGTAAGTGAGACCCTAATAAAGGTTTATGAAACTGGCACTTTTGACAGTTTGGTTTTTCCTCCTCAACACATTTTATTTTATGTGTAGCAGTTTCACAAACCCAACCCAGAGTTTAATAAATCAGGGCAAAATCTGTAATCGGGCTGCTTTCTGTTAAAGAGGGTAGCACCTAGCTTTCTTTAACCAAAACTAATGTCTGTGTCCTTGTAATTATAAAGCACTATCATTATCTTGTGCTGAATAATTATTGAAGAAGAGAGGAGGAAAGGAAAAGATTGAAAAGTTATTGCTGGTGTAATCAATGTTCATTTTTAATTTGATCTGTTTGTGCTCTTCTGCTGTAGGTCCAGACTACCACCATGTGTATTTCAGTGAGTTTAAGTGGCTTTGTCGTCCTGGGGTGCATGTTTGCGCCCAAGGTCCATATAATAATGTTCCAGCCACAGAAGAATGTAACTAGTCACAGACTACATCTGAACCGATTCAGCGTCAGTGGGACAGGAACGACATATTCACATTGTAAGTAGCTGAAAAAGCAAATCTTCTTGTACTGCTAACCTCACCTTTTGATATGAAAGAGACTGGTGGACCAAGGATAACCATTTATGTTCAGCGGCATTAAAACAAATATGAGATTCAGTTTAAAGTCACAGTTGTATAAGGCCACATAATTGGTTTCTTAGGGAAAAGTTATCTTCAAAAATCAAGCTGAAGCAAAAGCTGCAGAGATACAGTATGTTATGAGGTCTTTTGCCTCATAAATGCAAAAGATTTTGCTTTTCAAAACTACAGTACTTTGTGCACAGTAACCATTTTCAGTTTAATAAGCATGTTTGTGTTTATTTTTATTACAGCCTCCTCACTGGTATTTTGTTTGAATTAAAAATGTTGTCTTGCCACAACCAATTTTCTCAGTTAGCTGCAAATATTGTTCTCACTTTGGCATGTCTGTTTTTATAATTATTATTATGTTCAAATGTGTCCTAGTAGCTGAAATGTGTCACAATCATTTTCTTGCAGTAAAATAATGGTAGGAACATAAGAAAATATTTTTAAACCTTGCAAAAAAACAACTATTTTTGTTCTATTAAATGTTCTTATATTTCGTATATACCATGTTAAACCTACTCCAGTCAAAGAAATATTCTAGTATTATAACGTCCTACTTTCTATAGGAATTGAACATCCTTGAATTAAAAATATCCTTCCATCATATTATGACAAATTTCAAAACTGGCAACCCCATATTTTTGTGATGCACAATATAAAATATATAATATATAAATACTCTTCGGTCTTCCGATTGCGTGAAGAGAATTGTGAGATTTTGAGTGATGTTCTACACGTAGGAGCACCTTTTTATGGGCCACTGCTCCTGAGGTCTTATTTGAACAGCACTGCTATTAAGACAATACTTATTGCACTACAAAAAAGGTGATTGCACTCAGGAAAAATTGTGAATACTGAGTTATTGTTAATCCTTACAAATGCAGTGCAAGATGTTTTTACACCAATGTTTTAGGGAAAAACAAAGTGTCATTAGGAGACAGCATTTTTTCATCAAACATATCCTAACCAATATAAAACTCCAAGTAGCTATACCAATTATGTTGTTTGAACTCTATCTAACCTGTTACATTTTCTTAATAGAGAAGTGAGAACTTGCAGGGATATTTGTATTTACATACATAAACTTGCATGTATATGAATAATTGCCAGCAAGGTGGTGCAGTGGTGAGCAGTGCTGTCTTGCTGAGCTGGGGACCTGGGTTTAATTCCACATCTAGGGTGCTATGGTTTTTGCTGCATTTTCACCCTGTGTTTGTTGTTCCAGTTTCCTCCCACAATCCAAAGACATAATGGTGGGTTAATTGGCTTTTGGGAAAATTGCCCTTGATGTGAACCTGTGCATGTCTGTGTGTGCTCTGCGATGGACTGGTGTCCTGTCCAGGATGTACACCGCCTCGAGCTCATTTCTTGCTGTGATAGGCTCTGTCTCTCTGTGACCCTGAATTGGGTCAAGCTGTTAGATGCTTACAGTTGGATGAATCACTGCTACAGGAAACTGTGTATTCTTTATTTCACTCATTTTAGTTATGTTTTATATTTGTTGCAAATATACCAAGACATTTTAATAAGTGTAAATCCAAAATAATGTCAAATACATTTCTGATTATCACACAATATTGTGGCAAGACTAATCAAATTAAATACAAAAATGTAACTTGAAGATCACAATGAGTTATTACCTGTATTTATGAAAAGGAACCCTGTTTGAACATCTGATGTTAGGAAAATATGGTTTTAATGCACACTGGATGAGTGATGCAGCTCTCAGTGACAACACATGAACCTAATAGGTACTGTGTCTGACAAGGCGCAGGAGACATTGACGGATATCTTGTGTGATACATTTTAACACCACTGCCTGGTGATCACCACTCACAGATAGTTAGTGCCCGTCACCCTAAATAGTCACTCCAGACTCAAGCCTTTGGACTGTAGCACTCAACCTGCACTTTGAGCGTGCACCATAAATGGGTTAAATTAAATGCTATTTCAGAAGTCAAGTCAAATCCTAATTAATGCAATGCAGCAATGAAATTCATCAGGATAATGTATTAAAAGTTAGCGTAACTTATCTGGCTACGGAAATGGCAAGCTGACAGGACCTCAATCCCTTCAGGAGGAATGAGCCAGGGAGCTACTGCAAAAGTGAATGTGGAGTAGAGGGAAGAGTGACAGAACTGATGTGCAAAATGCTGCCCCTGAGCCGAGATACATTAATGTAGGAGAGCAGAAGTGGGTGAGATTAGAATTTGACCTTGTCCTGAACTTATCATTACAAGCTCAGAAATCAGTTTACCAGCAAATGCACTCTACTGGAGGATAACCAATTTGTATAGGTTAATCCATAATCCATAATCCATCCACTGGTTAAGAGAATAATGTGTCACGTAGCTTTTTAAATTTTCTTTAAAAAGCTACCCCACAAGATACACACTAATATTTACAGTGGAAAACATTACTGTACATCCCATCATCCCCACATATCCCTAATTTGGACTTATCTAATCATAATGCACTTACATGTCTGAGCTCCAAAATACCTTAAGAGATACATTACTGGCACCTAGAAAGTCCTGGGAGTCTTCATTGTACAGAGAGCCATGGAAACATAGGCTTGCTCTAGGCCTGGTGTTTCACTAGTTATATACAGTAACACTTCTCTGGAAATACTGGTCGCAGTCAGTAACTGACATGACCCAAGCTTTCGATATTGTAGATATTTAGATTTTTTTGCTTTTATTAAAACAAATGTTTCATTGTGTCAAGAAAAACTATAAATGTCTCAATCTGGAATTTATCCAAAGTAATGCCGATACTCAGAACTCGTAAATGTGTAAGACCATCTTTTATGTTAGGATATAAAAAGATCTAAAGACAACTGTCCTAATTTTTTTTCTTCCTCTTTGCTTTTCAGCTTCTGTGAGTGCTCATTATGTACCAACCATCTGCAATGGAAGAGAAATTGTCGATTCCACCACCTCGTCTCTGTGATTTGCATTTAAACTGCTTAATCTCAGCTCTTAGACTGTTAGCAAACTTGCACATATTGTGCATTTCCAGTGAACTAGTACCAATTATGTAGAAAGTGTGTATTAAATTATTTTTAAGGGCTGTACATATAACTGACATTACAATAGAAAACTTTATAGGATGTTTTACAGACTTTGTTTTTGATAGTTTTGTTATACTGTGTAAATAACCATGAGCTGCATTGCTATACATTTTAAATTCTCCTTAGCAGTAACACTGATCTACTGCATTTGCAAATTAGACAAAACTTTGTCTTATTTTTTGTAGGCTTCATTGTTGTAATTAAGTATGCATTTCTATGTTGTATATAATATGTACATTATGATTAACTGATGGTTTTAACAGCACAAACTGACAGTATTACACAAAACAACTATAATTAGAAGGTAAATAGATGATAAGATCCCCAGTGGTTATTATAACTGTAAGTGCATGGTGCGTGGAAGACTCTGACCTAGTAAATGGGTTTACCTAAATCTTCAGAACTTTGGCTCATGTATTGTAACAATAAAATCATGGGTGATCATTTTACTTATAATGTGACCTCTAGTAAAGTTTAATAATGTTGAACAATGGCTTTTTGTGCCTTAACTGGTGTCATGTAGTTTTATACAAAAGCTTAATTATGATCTGTGCATGTAGGTACTGTAGCAGAAGGTATATACAAAGATGTATAAGTTTCAAGTGGCATTTAAAATGCTGTAATTTGTACTGCATTTACAAAGAAGTTTGTAAACCATACAAATGTCTCAACAGTACTGGACACTTTTAAAATGCAACTTAGATGGGCATTGATTTTTTTTTACAACTGCAATATTATGAATGTTTCAAATCACATATAATTTGAGGGTGATATATTTTGTAAAAAGAAAGTGACCTAAAATAGAAGCATTTCCAAAGCCATTCACATTTATTAAAGAATCATGACAACAATCAAGAACATTTTACCACAAGTTTGTACAGCTTTAAATGTGCACCACAATACAAAATATACAAAAAAGCGAACATTGGTACTCGCATATCTGCAAACATAGTTCTTTAGAAATAACTGGTTTTGCCTTCCAGTGCAGTAACATAATGAAATAGGATGTACTGTATATGAAACAATATCTTTGGGAGTCTGTAAAATATACAAGGCAAATTTTGTAAAAAATGCTACCCAGAGAAATAACAGAAATTGCACACCAGTTCCATTGGTTGGAAAAAAAAATACAAAGAAAACCATGTGTCCAAAATACAACAGGAAGCTGAGGATTATGTAAAGTAATCTCATGCCCCTAGTCATGCATTTTATTTATGCTCACACATCTGAGAGATTATTTTTCTTTGTTGTAAGGCTTATCTGTTAGTGCATTCCTTGCTGCCCGAGGATACATTACTCCAAAGTCGAGTTGCCATGGACAACCATGAATGGAATCTACTTCTTCCAAAATTCTGGAACACTCCAACGACTGAGCTGCTCATAGAGCAGTTTAAGTCACTTTCTCTGTATAAATGTCATGATATGTGTGATATACACAAACCAAAAATAGCCTATTGTTCCTGAGTCAAGGCAATATCTTTCTATTACTCAACCATTTTTTTAAGTTATTTCACACTGTTTATATGGTTGTGTTTAAGTGTGGTGTTTAGGTCAGCCACCACAGGAACCTGAGTAACAGTGCAGAGGAGGCATCCGATCATAAAGACAAAGACGAGATGCACAGCAATCCTAATTTTATTTTGTAAAATCATTTATTTTGCGACTGTTTAAAAGGCTTAACTATCCGTCATATTCTGATATTGTACCACCAAAAACAAAACAAAAAAAACATGGTCCACAGTGCTTGCTTTGGCCAACCTGGAACTTGGCGTAGAATGATTGGAGAGCAAGTAACAGTATAGTTCAAATAATGAGTGCAATAGCAAGGTGATGCATCATAATAAAAAAAAATCATTCACTTTTCTTGTGTGCTTCTCTTTTCTTTTTCTCTATTGAGGTCATTCATGGGCAGGACGGGCCCAACAACAACGTAAGGGGGAAATAAGTAGCTGAACTGAAACGTGGGCGGCTTTCTCCTGCTGTGACCACACGTGCATACAGCTAACAAAAGGGATGTGTCTGTACTGTAGAGAGGTGGAGGGTGGAGTCTTTTCCTCACTTTCCTTCAGCACTGACCACCTTGTACTCTTCAACAACACTGTCTTAACTAGCATTAAGTATTCCCTTTGTTGTCTGCTGCTGAGAGAAAACACTCTTTCAATTATTTTATAAATTAAAAAGTGATAGTTATATAACCCTTGGAGTGTTGTGAATTTTGTCAGTTTGCCCACAAAGGTACTGCGGCCATTTTTACAGCTTTTTTACACAAGAAAAATCTAATGACACCTTTTAAAACAGGGATAAAGCCATTCAAATTAACCAAATGGAATAAATGAATATAAAATGGGCAGCACAGTGGCACAGTGGTTAGCTTTGCTGCCTCGCAGCACTGGGGACCTGGGGTGCTATCGGTGTGGAGTTGGTATGCTCCCCCTGTGTGCATGTAGGTTTCCTCCAGGTGCTCCTGTTTCCTCCCACAGTGCAACAGTCCAGTACTCATTACAGTACTTGTAGGTTAACTGATTTCTGAGAAAAAAAACTGACCCTGGTGTGCGTGTTTGTGTTTGTGTGTCCCCTGTGACGGACTGGCATCCCTTCCAGGGTTTATCCTGTCTCATGCCCATTGCTTGCCGGAATGGGCTCTGGGTCTCACATGACCCTTTATTGGAAAAAACGGTTAGAAAATTGATGGATGGGTGGAGGAATGGAAAAAATGCCATCTCATTTTGTTATGGTTCTTCATATTGTCCAACTACAAATGAGTTACTGGAATCTTACATTATCCAGCCTCTAATTTTTTTTGACACTTCCTTTTAAGAGGTTTCTGTCAAACATTTTCATGGATTCACGGTACCAGCTTTGACCCTAACTGTCAAGTCATTAAACATAAATCAGTTATTAAATGAATAACTATCCCCTGTTGAGTAATGTGTTTTGGGACCACAAGAAGTTCACCAGTATATTCAAAGGATACGTTGTTAAAAGGATCGTAAAGCATTACAATACAAATAATTAATATATATTTGTAAAGTTTTAGCCCTTAAACATATCTGGAGTTGACTTCAAAGTTGCCTTACACTCCATTTCAAAGCAGCATGAGTAATGGAAGAAGTGCAATTTCAAAAAAACATAATTTGTCAATGTGTGGAAAAAAAAAATGTCATACAAATAACACCATTTCCCATGATAATAAAACAAGCCCCATTTCAAAATAGTGTTACCTCCTGCTATTTCTGTTTGGAAGGGTAGGTGAATCTGAGTGCCTTTCAGGTTCTAAATTAAAGATTTTTTTTTCTAGGATGACATTTTTGGTAAATTGTACACATCTCACTGCTTTCAGCCTCTGTGGAGTAATAATGGGCTCGAAGCCCTGCTTTAAAGGAAAACTGACATCTCAGCAGTACTTTCTTTGTAGTTTTGCATTTATTCCCAGGGGCTGACTGTGTTGTCCATTACAAAAAACATTTATTTGGAGGAGAAAAAAACCCATTATGAAAAATTTGTCCAAATACTGCATTAAAAATATTAAAATAAAACAGCCATTACAAACACTGGCATATTCACCAATTCTTTCATCAGAAGATTTTATTTACTGGAATCCATCATTAAGGATTACCAAGTACCACATGGTAGTTATTGGAATGCTTAGTTGCCTCACAGTCAAACAAAACAAAATCCCTATTAATTGCACAATTGGAAAGTCATTTCTACATACGTGAAAAAAGCTTTCTGTCAGCATTTTACAGCATTCTGCCTAAAAAATACATTTAACAGGCTCGTTTTCCTCTGTTCACTATGCAAGTGTGTATATGTGTGGGGTTGGAGCCTCTAGTACCTTTATCCATTGTTGAAATATTCATCACAATGAATAATTTTATTTTCTATGCAGAAAACCTCCTTAAACAAATATGCCTAGAAGAGAGGTTTTACTGTATTTTATTAAGGATAAGGAGCCTCAATGCATTCTTGTTTCATTTTTTTCCTTATGGGATCTCATGTCTAATCACATTTCAATTAAAAATGCAAAACAACAGGTCTTTTCTCTGTTAATATTCAAATGTAATACTATCCAAGATCATTACTGCACATCATGTTTGACAATATTTAAGATTTGCAAATACCAATGATTTTATATGGGAAAACTACAGTTAAAAAAAAATAACATAAAAGCATCCAAATTCAACAAAAGTAAATGTACAAAATTAAAATTCAAAAAGCACACATAAAACAGATTTTAAACACTATAAATTCAATGTTTCCTTCATCACTGGTAGTTTACAGCGGATACACTGATAGTTCTATTTATATAAGGGGGACAAAAGCCACAAACCAAATATGAGTATTAAATGTCACATAAACAGCCTGATCTCCTGAAATGGCAGAGAGAAAAAAAAAACTTGAGTTTTAGGACTCGCCTTTTTGCCACAACTGCATGTTCTGATGAAGAATAAAAATAGAAGCAGAGTAATGAGCTGTAAAGCAATTCCAGCCAGGTACAGTAAGTGAGCCATGTTACTTTGTGGTCTGTAAAGCTCTTGCCCATTGTATCTAACACACAGGGAATGATTTAGTTTTGAATTAGCTACTGTAATTTCAAAGTAGAGAGACCTAGTGGATCTCATTACACACAAGCAGTACTATTTGAACCTTTAAACAGTCACAAAAAGCAAAGTAAGAAAGCAAACGAATTGTGTATCCCTTCCTGAGCTGGACTATCAATTTAATGTCTGAATCCCCTTTGGCAAGGTATGTTATCCCAGTAATAAGGCAACCAAACATGAGTATCTTCACCAACCAAGTTCCTGGTCCACAGATCATTCAGATTATTCTTAATTATAGTTTTTTTTGCAGTTTTTTTTTCTTCTCTCATCATATATTTAACAGCATTTTTTTATCCCCAAACCCATCTCTCATTTTTGGATGATTTTAGCTGGACTGACTCACAGTTGTCCCCATTTCCCTGTACAAAAAAACAAAATAAAACAGACATAAGCAATGTCAAAACCTGACATTATAAGAAGTATAGTAATTCAGACCAACATATCATTTTCATAATGTCAAACATTCCGAATATGTTTTGAAAGCCGATATCAAGTTTTCACATTCTTAGCTGGAAAAAAAATGAACAATTCACACAATATGTAATTTATGAGGCAATAAAATAACAGTAATTGCTCTGGTTTTTTAATACTCTAATACTGCAGTAGATCAGAAGAAAACTTTAATATGCTTAAAAATACTGTTGTGATTATACTTTGTTTTGTGTCCATGGCTTCATGGCAATGGCATCAAATTAGGTTCTTTATGTAGATCCTGGCACAGACTGTGTGATTAGACACATGCTAGTCACTAGAAAGAAAGCTAATGAGTAGCTTCAAAAGGATTTAGATGGACTTGGAACATTCCTTTAAAAATGTGCAATTCCAACGTGACAAGTTTTAACATCACACCTTGGGAAATAAGGACAGAACTATTGTCATGCCTTTGCCACATTTTTAAATTTTCAAGATGCATCACTTACGTGGGTAATCATTACAAAATTCTCAGTGACAACCTACCTTTGTGGCTATTGACTTCAGCTTTCCCAGCAAGGAGGGCTTATTGGAATAAACCACCTCCTCCTCATTATCCTCACCTTCCATTATGGCACAGCTGTCTGCAGCAGGCAGTTCACATTCCTTGTTAGCAGTCATCACTAAACGTGAATATTTATATTCCAACCTGCCACCAACAAAAACAAAAATAGTGAAATCCCTCCATCCACCCAGCACAAAGAGCACTAGCCGCCTAAGCTACAGCAACAATTGCTGAATTGTAAACTGCTACTTATACTGATGGCAAATCAGCAAAAAACACTTCTGTCAGAAGCACAATGAAAGTTCACTATCATAGTTGAAAACTATCTATGAGTTTATTTTAAAAAGCTTGTTTTTTTCCACTATGTTTATTTTTGTGGCCAGTGGCACAGTAATGGACCCCTAATGTCAAAATGTGACAGAACAAAAAAAGTCTCCAAAGCATTGTAAATATTCAAAAGGCAAAAATGCACAGTGGAACGTTCTTAATCAAAAGAAATATTTTGAAACAAACTGAAAGGGTGGCATTGTACTATCCTGCCATACTCCTTTGTTTTATCAAGCAACATTACTTATAAGTGCAGCTGAAGACCTTCACCTTTCATACAAGCCTTCCTGCCCTTTTCATTTGCTCATTTCTTTTGAAATGTTCACGTCTCACAGCCAAGAGGTGTTGCAGGGGAATGATGGGAAAACAGGCCAAGGTCATGTCACGCCACGAACACTCCTTCCCAAAGGCAAAGCAAATTGCTGTCTTTAGGCTGCTAGTATTCTTATTGTAAAAAAAAATCTGCACTCCATAACTGGATAAAACTAACAGGATATGAATTATAATCAGGACTATAAGAGATTAAATTTAACATTTAAAAAGTTTTATGACCAGTCCAACAGTCCTTAGCATACATTTATTTTTTTTAAATTCTTAAAGTGTACATATAAATGGGGGGAACACTAAAGCGAATTATTATTTAAATCTGCACAGGGATAGGGCATTGCATGTTCTAATTAAAAGATACTTTCTCTTTCAATGAAGCAAATTACTGTCAAAATACAAACACAAAATACTTGTCAATCACCAGCAATGACCCAAGTGTTCCCTGCCAAGGCTGGTGAAGTTTCATTGCTCTGCACCATATGCACACTGAGCTGCTCAAGCTGTGATTGAATTTGGGACTATACAGGGGGATGTGCAGTAATCTCAAATGTGTATGAAGAAAATACTGTCAGTGTGCATACGGTAAGAAGGTGGGTTACCAAATCCAACATAAGACCTTACACAAACATGCAAGTGATGTTATGGCAGGAATGTCTGGCCTCACACAAGATTTCAAACACTGAGAGTTATTGCAAAGATGGGATGGGGTGTACTTTCTTATCCAGCATACAGTCCAGACCTCAACCCTCCTGACTATCATTTGTTCAGGCCTCTTGCTTCGGGGGAATCTTATTTGCAACTGCGTGATCTGAACATGACAATCTAGTCACAGGCTGCATCAACAAGATGAAATGTTTGCGATGGTATTGAGGGCACTACTGGAGCCAATCTGTGGTCCGTCATAGACTTTCCACCTACTTTCATAAGCTTTTGCAAATCTGTCAGAAAAAATTAAGACATCCTTTGGGGTGATCCACATAAAATTATATATTAATATAGAAGTGTATAAAATTCCTGATCCCGTCCCTAGCAAAAATGTACAAAGTGTACATAGCCATGAGGTATTTAAAAAATTAAGTCAGTTATATAAATTAATGTATGCCACTGTAGCTATAAATAGATCAACCATTCTAAAAGAACATGAACATCAATTACCTGATGACAAAGGACCAATGTATGGAAGTACATTGCTATCACCAAGGAAAAAAAAATCCTGAGCAGCGGTCATTTTACCGTATGAACCTCTCATTACATTCTGTGATGACAGTACCTACAACCTATCGATAAGTTTGTTGAAGCTGTGGGTTTAGTGTTCCTGACAATGTGCAATGACGCAAAATGCACATGAAGTTACCTTCCCATCAGGTTTATTCATGATGGAATATTACAGTTTGCACCTAGTGTAAACACAGTTTTAGCCATGAAGACAATCGTGCATATCCTTGAACAAGAGCAAGTGTGCCCTGAAATCGATTCCACTGCTTAAAACTGAAAGTCAGATATTGATTATGCAGGTATCGTATGACAATTGTGCTAACGCGTGATCGCATACAGTACACAAGAATGAGCTGTGATTTTTTTTTCCCTTGGTGGCAGCAATGCCCTTCTGGACCAATGTCTATAAAACCTAATGAAAATTATGCTGTTGCAAAAACTCACTTGAACAACAAACAAGCAAACACAAGACAGAACGTACCGTATTTTTTTTACGTTTCTTTCAGTATTCTTGCATTTTAAGAGGCGCAGTTGTACAACTAAAATGTTATTCTCATACGTAGTTAGTTCAACTCACTTTTTGTTCTTCTTCCAGAAGTAGCAGGTCAGGGATATTAGCAGCACTGCTGTGAAAGCACCAATTCCAGCCCCAACTTTTAGCCAGAAGTCAATAGCCTCACAAGGTGAGGTCTTTGTACCTGGGAGGGAGACTCCCTTAGTACAAAGCTTTGGTTCATTCCATACATATTCGGTGTCCTTGGAGTAAAAACAAACCCTTTATTATTCCTTCTCACACTTATGATTGGATATGATTAAAAAAAACAGGAGAATCAGACAATGGAGATTTCTAATTTAATAGACTTTCCAACATCTGTATTCTAGTGCCTAGCAAAACTATTCAGATCCTATAATGGTGACCCAGTTTGTGAAATCACATTAGGATGCACATTTATGCGTAAGAGTTTGATTCTTTTCGATACTCTCATTACAAATTTGTTAGCATTTCGCTGAGAAACAAAAACAAAGATTCAGTTTGACCTGTAATATTTTCCATCCATGTTATCCATCTGTTTTTCATCCAATATAGGGTTGTGGGGCAGCCAGAACCTATCCCAGCAAGCAACAGGCAGAATGCAGGATACACCCTGGGCAGGATACCAGTCCTTCTCAGCTCGCACACAGATACACGGAGCAGAGCCAATTTTCCCATAAGCTAATTAACCTACAAGTATATATATATCTTTGGACTGTGAGAGGAAACCAGTGCACCCAGCAAAAACCCATGTTAACACGGGAAGTTTAAATGCCTCGCAGATAGCGCCTCAAAAAATTGAACCCAAGGCGCCCCTGCACTATGATGCAGCAATGCTAACCACTGCGCCACTGTGCTGACCCTGTAATATTTATTTGTTACTGCTACATTTCCGTTTTCATTAACTCTTCATGGCTTGTCAGGATTTGAAAGTCCCAGCAGAATAAATATAAGCTCTGACACTGGGCTTTGAAGAGGAGGAAGTTAAGATTTTCAGTGAGAAAAGACTTAAAAGTGCGGAACTAAAGTGGTATTGGCCAAGGTTGGTCTTCCAGAGGCCAAATAGGAACATTAGCCAGCAATATGAGTATTTTTTACACAAAACAATGCATCAGTTATGACGTAAAAATGTTTTCTGATTACTTGAACTCCACCCTTGCACGCTCCCTCGATTTCATGGTAGTCCATTTCTGTACACATTGGACAGGCTTCTGCACTTTCCCACAGGAAGTTGAAAGTACAACCGTCACAGGTTCCTGCAGGACATTTACTAAAAGAAAAAGAAAGGCAAGGATTAGTGGAGCTATTCTAGGGTCAGTGCTGGAGTCTGGGCTTGTATTATTCTGCTTGCTTGCACTTCAGCAACAGCTCATCTCTCTATACATACTTTAACATATGTTAACATAATTAAACTGAGTGGCAGCTACCATGTGTTAAGGAGGGGACCCCCAACAGCAAAGAAATTTTGAGGACAAAAGATGAAGAAATGCAAATGTGTGTATTTCTAAATTAAAATATGTTTCGATAATCCAAGGAAATATCAAAATAAGTGCAAGTTAACATATTTCATAATTTTTTTAATGCGAACCTGAAGATGTGTTTTAATGTTCTATCTGGAGGATGCACTACTCTCAAGGCCAAATGTCACTGAGCAAACAACCAACCTTTCACTTAGGTAATCCTCTCCAAACCTGCATTACTACATTCATCTACTTCATCTTGCATTAATTATGCTGTAATACAACACAGAATATTCCTTCACCTTTTAATTACCCAATGTTGCCGGTTAATCTACCAGGAGTTAAAACATTCATAAATTAAATGCAATGATTAAACGATAGGAAAGATTGAACTGTTCAGAAGCTGTTTTAATTCTACTGGTTATCAAACAGACGATGAGTCTAGTTCTTCAGGAGAATATGAAGACGAGGCAATATAATGTTTGAATGCTCTCTTGTTGGAAATGTTGGATTTAAACCCTAAACTGTGGTGGACATAAAACTGTGTTTTTATAGGTACTGTATGCAGACAAAAATCCCCACAAGATTTAAGGTCTATGTGGTTGCGAACAATCTGCTCTAGAAGTACCTTGAGAGCCCTTATTATTTACTTAAGGTTTGAAAATCTAGACTTTTTTGTTATCGTTACACAAGTTCACGCGTTGTTTTGCTGGAATGAACCAATAGGAAGGGCATTAAGAGAGGACTTAGGATTACTGTCCCTTTACCTGACTCATACAGTTTGTAGCAGCTAGACACTCCTTTATTATTCATAGACCTCTACATTGAACTGGGCGACGTGCTCAAGACTCATCTGCCAGATCAAGGCCTACTGGTTCCAAACAAAGCAATTCTTCTTTTGACATGTAGGGCATATTGGATCCTTTCCAGGTTTCCCTTTCTTGATGTTCAGCACGCTAGACATTCAACAGGTTAAATTGCTTCTTACTTTTTCCCAACCAACTCTCTCATTAATCAGTTGATACAGTGGTCAATGTCACTCAAGTGATTCGTGATCAGTCATGATTAATCAAAATGATAATAAAAAAAAACTTTTTTATATATAGTGACTTTAAAAGGTGGCTTCTCAAAGCACATTACAGAATGACAACAACAAGAAAAAACACACATGGTATGCACACATGGAAAATACACAATGAAAGGAAACAGCAGATGGAGGCACTGAATGAAGTAGCAGCAGAGGGGTAAGTAACATAACCAGTTAAGTAAAAGCCCTTCTAAAGAAGGTTTTGAAGGAGTTTAGGGAAGGTGACTCTCTGATTTCCTTAGGGATAGAGTTCTAGAGCTTTGGAACATAAAAAAGCTGATATCAAAAATGATTCCATGCCAATACAGGGAGAACAGACAAACTCCATGATAATAGCACCCCAGGTGTGGATGGCTACAAATCTTCCTTTTTTCTGCACATCTAAATCATTCAAAAGGATAAATGTGAAAGTTTTTCTCCAATATAATAGCAGGAAGTCAAAATTCTCCTGTGGCTGAATTCATCTTAAGGAAAATTACATTTCGAACAGCCCCATATCTCCCCTTTCCTAATATATTTTCATATGAAGTGAGGGAATGAATAGTGTATTCAGGGTGAAAGTTGTTTATGCAGTGTTTTAACCACTATTTTCAACTGCACTTCCAAATCAGTTATAACCTTCAGTCGATTTACATGGAAACAGATATTCCCACAAAGTACTTCCATATCCTAAGGCAAAGGTCTCCAAGTCAAACTGTCACATTTCTAAAAAAGCACAGGAAATAATCTATTTTAAAGCAGTAGCTGTTTTACCACCCTAGGACATCCTCAACTTTAAAACAATCTGGCTTTTTGTGCCGTGAGAAATTTCAGAAGCAGCAGCTAGCATAAGTGATTTCAATACTAAAACCCAGTCCCCCGGTCAACACAGAGGAAGCTCTGCTACCCTTTCAGACCTCTCTACTCTTTGCGACACTGAAGCTTCCTCATTTGGCGTCAGATCCAGTGATCAAAAACAGAAAAAGTAACGAGAACGCAATTATTTTTTTTGTACCTATCAAATTTCAAATAGCAAGTTATGAGTTTTTTGCATCTCAGATTGGAGCAATGAAACCCACACATGGGAAGAACGAGGAACTGTCAGCATGCCTTTGAGTCTTCCACCCTTTATGGTGAGAGAGGCACTGCAGCCCCATACAGGTTGTTCAACACTGATTGGAGGATAGGTACCTTCTCACCACAATTTCTCGCCACGTGCTTACAAGTAAATTACAGGGGTAATGGTGAAAGGGTAACAGAGGTGTCAGTGACTGACTGCTCTCGTCTGCTCTCCGTACCGTTTGGCCAACTGTATAACTGCTTGGGGAAATTGCTGTCACAGACAGCTGGTGAAATAATAGGCTCAAGCTGTAACATGACTATCCAGATGAAGATTACAGATCCCAAATTACATGTCTGTTATTACACAATATTCCTACATATACTGTACCTGTGCCAAAGTGACTTAATACCTTAATGTCTTACAATGTAATTAACAAAGCTTTTATGTCATTCCATGTAGATACTAGTCTCATCACCAGGTCTACATTTTACAGATGTCGGTCTGAAAAAAAACAGATTACTAATAAAAGGCTGGTCACTAACAGCTATACCTTGGTACAGAAAGCTCTCCTCGGCCACTCTTCTTAGGGTTGCATCGCAAGGAAATAATGCCATTTCTGCCCTTCTCACAAGAGGAAGTGGCCTGTGGAGAACTGGGAAAACAAAGAGCAAAATACTTCAGAACAACTGAAATAGGCCTAATTTTAAACAGGATGCACTTAACAAATGGCTAAAAAGCCTTCTACTTCATAAAAGAATTTAAGTGACATATTAAAGGTCACATTATTCAGAATGCCTAGGTCAATCCTCTCCTCAAAATGGAAAATAATTGCAGCTGTTTGCACATACCGATAGAAGAAATTGACATCTGGTATTTTCTTTGGAGGTTCAGGGAACAAGTCTGTCTTTATACTGACTCCATTAAGTGTAGTTTCAATGGTAGCTCCTACAAAGGACATTACACAAAGGTGAACATTAGGAAAATGAAGATCACTATGTGACAAGTCAGGTTCAAGAAGGTCAAGAACTGCATGGATACATATTCACAATACTCAAGAAATTATTTCATAAGTTCATATACTGTATGTAACAAAATTATAAAAACATACTGGAGACAGATTAAAGAGGTGTTACAACAAGTTTCAACTATTATCCATATTATATCCGTTCTAAATTATTTCTGCTTAACAGAAGGCCTTTGCTACGTAAAAGAATAATAAACTTGATGAAGTAATGGAAAATAAGAAAGCAATTTCACACTACAGTGCCCACGATACAATTTGCTATTAAAGACTGGGGTTGTGTTCAGCAAAAACTGCCGCTGATGGCATTTAACAACCATACTGTGCATGATAATTGGCCATGTTTCAATGCCTTGAAGACCAGAAGAATTACAAAACCACTGTATGAGGAATGCAGCTGAACATCGCCTTCAACCAAATGTAAAGGAGAACTTGGATGAGAAGTTGTACAGTACGACTTTGATTGTTAACAGCATCTGTCAGAGTGTGTGAAGACCCTGAATTTCAGATGCAGGCCTTATATTTCTAATGATGAACTCGGTCGTTCATGACTTTGTTCCAAGTCACTGGATGATTCGCTGATGGCTAGATGTTCATGGCCTCACCCAAAAATGTATCTGCAAGGCTGATCGACTGAGAAGACAAGGCAGTTCTGAACCCACGTCCATCAGAAGGGATGATGGTTGACTGGCAGATAAAGGTTTCCACAAAGTTGACAAAATCAACCGATTCATTCTGCAGGTCCTTGGATGACAAATCTGTCACATTGTCAGTACAAACAGCCACCTTTTTACCCTAGGACAAAAGAAAGAAACAGAAAGAAGTACTGTATATGGTGAAGGTTAAACTGTAGGAAAATAGTCACCCACAAAATGTATGGTAGAACCCTAGAAAAAAAAAAAAGTTAATGAAAACATAAGGGGAAGCAATGAAATGCCCGAATGGTTTTAGGTAGGCACCTAATGGCTGAGCAAATCGAAACATTGACACGATTACAAATCCAGATTACAAGCCATTAGTCACTATTCGTTTTTTACCTACTTGGTAAATTGAAATTGATTTGGATCAATTTCTTTTTGAGGTCTAGTACAGGTGACTACATCAGATCTTGACAGGAAGAATAATTCTTTATACTACATCACATCACAATTGGTAACTTCCATCTCAGTTAAGTCTTTTCATATCCAAGCACAGAGCTAAGGTAATGCTGCCTTTTCCTACACTTTGCAGGATTTGACAAAATGTCATTACCCAATCCTACAAAAACCATCAAGTATCCCCCGTGACTGCTTTTAATATTTCTGTAAAGGTCTCACTACAACTATTAACAGCTTAAACAGAGAAAAGTTCATCTGCATCAGTTGTGTACCAGAACCTTCAGGCTAAAATGTTGATCACAGCATTTTATTTGAATATATTGAACAGCTTAGCCACTGAGCCAGATAGAGAGCCTTACCTCATATCCACACAGGCTTATATTGAAGAAATGGTAGTACTTGGTCCCTTTAGATGTGAAGCTTGGCCCATTCATTATTGATCCGACAGGGCTAAGCTGGCTGAAATCATATGTCAGGGTCTGATTTTCAACTGTGTGGGTGAAGGTGCAATCACTGAAGCAAACTGTGTGATCCTTCAAGAAAACAAAAGCATGAATACATTCACTTTGAGGACAACAATACCAACCAATTGCAAAGGTACCTAAAATCAGGACTGCTTGGGAGCTGAAAGCAACCAAGCTTGCTTTGGCAGACTGATGTCATTCAACTGAAAAGTATCAGAGATGAAAGGAAGCATTGTTCAATCATCCAGCTAAATGCTGAGCTCCAGCTCCCAGAACAGAGCTGCTCTCCCTTGGTTCTGTTAAGCAACTTAACAGGAATGTAGTTAGTCAAATCCTTTTATTCTGCTTATATTGTCATGGATAATCTTAAAAATGGCATCAGGTATAGCTATGAAAGTTTGTGTAGTACAGTAAAAGGAGTTATATAAAATCAAGAATAAAACTTCTCACAAAAAGTGGACACCTATTTTCATACTTGCACATAAGAAAAGACATTGCAATTCAAACTGTACTTCAGATTAAGCCACTAAAGACTACATTAATATTTATAATAGCTTCCTCACTTCAAAAATCTGGCTGCGTTACAGAAGCACAAGTCCTGTAATATTCAATTTGGAACAAGGTTGCCTCCATATTGATTGTGTGCAATAAATACTTTGTGTTAAACTAAATTGTCAAAGACTTCTTTATGTGTAGAAAACACTTGGCCAAACAAAAGTAGCTAAAAGGTTTTAGTGGATGGGCTGATCTAAAACACAACATGCCAAAATTGTACTTATGCCATCCTTCTGTCTGCAACTACATAGAAAATTTTTGAAAAAGATTTATCCACCAGAAAACATACCGATTTCTCAAAGGCTGATAGGCTACCACCCTAACTGAAGAATAAGCACCTCAAGAACACAAACATGATCTAAAAGGAAGAGTAGTTCAGGTGGGTAGCTGCATCAGCATGCATAGGCTGCAAAGGAACAAACACCTGAACAAGGATCCATGGCCGAAACATTGTGTTTTCTTTCTTCTCTTTTCAGCATGGAATAAACCTATTACTTGTTCTTAAAAGGAAGAGAGTGCCTTTTTTCCCCCCTTTTCCCCATAAAGTGCTAGTCTGCTTCATTTTAAAAAGTGATTTTTAGCTTCAAAAGAACAACGTATATGAGGTCCGGACCAATAATCTTATTTTAGCAGTCAGGATACCATTGTAAGCTTTCAAAATGCTTGAAGCAACACTTGTTCTGGTTTAAGGGTTTGTAAGAACTATGTGTGTTTATCAGTGCCTCTGTTTGTCTACATCTATATATATTTACACACATTAGGCGTTTGGAAACTGTTCCAGCTTTCTGACTAAGAAGCATACAGAAATGTGGCATGCAGTAGTACCGTACAATTTCTTAGTACGCCACTCAATGTACACAGCTCAATGGCTATAGATCACCTTGCCACTGTCTGCAGAATGGACAATGACACTGCTGACGTAAAGACATCTGATGAACAGTTAAAAGCTACCTTATTGCTTTTGCTGCCTGGCCCACAAGGAATGCAAGCTTCCTTGCCATAAATCTGGTGCATGGAGAGATATGTGCCTGGAGGGCATTCTTTGCACTGGTTCGTGTCTTTGTCAATGTAGTGCCCCGCAGGACATGGGATGCAGGAGGATCCGGATTGCTGAGACATGAGGGCACAGGCATGGCAGGAAGAGGCCACACCATCCTGGGCATTGGTGACGGTGATCGAGTAGATCTTCACAATGTCATTAACGAACTTTCTGGTCTGAGGAGAAAAATTATGCAGAGCAGCAGGTCAATTGCGAAGGTACTAAATCCATATTATCTTGGCTATCCCCAAGCAAGGATACAGTCCATTCCAATTCAAAAATACCTCACCAAAGCTCTCCAATTCCTAAACTGAAACTCACACATCCAAAAGCTCCCAGATTTTGTTTCAAAGAAGAGTGACAGAATTATTACTGGGGTTGGACTTTTTAGTAAGAGAAAATAAATCACTCCAAATCAACTGTATAACAGCTAACATTTAGAAAATTTAACAACTGTGTTAATGTTTTTCTTTTCCATTAAAGAAACAAACAGTTGAGGGAACAACTCTGAACACATTTCAATATATGAGCCACTAAACAGTAAATTTAAAAAAGAGGTCCATTGTAGAAGAAATAATAGAATTAGACTGCACTATTTAACGTCCTGTATTAGCACTGCACTCACATCCTGGGCCTGGTTGGTCCTCTGGAATGCCCAAGTGTATGACACAGAGGCATTTTTGGTCATTATGTGGGTGTAGGACTGCTTCTCTTTGGTCCCTTCCCAAGACTCTACCACATTGGTGCTCTTCCGGTTCACATCCTGTGAAAAGCAGGGAGATTTGTGGGCTGCACTGCACAGTATGCCATTATCATTCATTGATTGATTTTTCTATGGCATTCGTTGATTTTTGTCCGAAAGTAAATATAATTCAACTTCCCTTTATGGCCTCCAAATTTTATTAGGTCACAACTTTAGCAATACTTGATTCACATGTACAGTACACAGTTTTGGACAAATGGCATTTAGCTGGCAAAGGAATTATTCTGATGAAGATTCCCTCTGCCAAGCTCAGTCAAAGAGGCTCATTAGGGGTTAGACAGAGATAGTGTATTGGGACAGTCTTTTGTATTAGTAAGGTTACAGGACATATGAAAGTCAAATGATGCTTTGTTTTACTTAATGACACAGCTTACAACTTTGTTTCGCTCACAACCTCGAAAATGAGATTTTGCATAATTATAAAGTAAGAAGGCTGAATCAGACGTTGTATCCAGTACTCTTTATACAGCTACTGTATATAAATGGGCCACAGAACACCTTTAAGGCATTAATCTTCTTTTAGAGCCCATTTAATATCATAAACCATAGGTATTAATGGGAATTTTAAAAAGGTAGAATCCTTCAAACTGCTTACCATCATGAAGTAGAGCTCGCAGTCAGCAGAACAGATGGTCTCAAAGACAAAGGTAATGCGGCCAAATTCACTGCCTGTAGTCCCAGTTACTGAAGTTGGAAGCCTAAAGAAAAAACACAATTGTGTCTGAAATATTAAAATGACAATCTAAACTTGAAACTTAATACCCCACTATCTGGTGTTAACCATTATTGTACTGTAATGCAAAACTTTTTTGTGCAAAGCAAACCTGAATTGCTTTTTAAATTTTAAATGTGGATCTATCAGACCCAATTCTGCTTTAATTCTTAAAAATGCAGTTTAGTGTTTTAAAGCATGCATTGTCAGTTACAAAGCAATGAAATGATCTGTCTTATTGGTCCACTTCCAGAAGGAAGACTTACTTGAATCCAGGTACATGAAGGTTTAAAATGAGGTAGTCATTGTCAGAGCCACCTGCACCACTGCGAATATGGTCCCCAGCTACTTCCCAGCCTGGAAAAGAACAGGAGAGAAATAACCAAAAAGATGCATTACTACACAGAAGTGTATGAAAAATCAGGGATGTCTTGGTTAGCCAGTAATTGAGATGCAATTTTTTTTTGTAGTTCCCAATATCATACTTTATTCCTTTCATAAATTTTAAGGTTTACATCAAAGATAGAAAGACTGATTAAAATGTGCTAGCAAACCAGAAACTTTAATTTCAGGCTTGTGTTATCTCTCCTATACCATTTTCTCATTGAAAAGACAAATGTTACCACTTCACCCAATAGGACATTTCAGTCCATGCGAGTTAAATCTTATTTTAACTGGATCATTATTTTATATTGGTTTCTTTGGTTTGTCCCACAGAAGGTCTCAGGCTCAGAAGGAGACTGGTCAGATCCTGTTAACCAGTCAAAATTGTGCAAGACTTTTTCTAGTGAACATAAGAAAAAATACAAAGTGGAGGAGGCCACTTGGCACTTCTAACATATTTGGTTAATTCTAAGATCTCATTCAACCATCATTTCTCTGAAAAATCGGCACAACCACATTTTTGGGAAACTTGTTCCACACCCCCACAACTGTTTGTGTAGATATGTGCTTCCTGTTCTCCATTTTAAATGCATTTCATATAGAGTCCACTTGTGTCCTCTAGTAATTTTGATTAATGCTCCACCTGGGATGTCAACTCAGGACCTTCCTAATTACTAATAAAGGTTCCTAGCCACCAATTCACACGATTGCCCTCATTAGTCACTAACGATCTTCTAATAGCTTCTGATTCTAGTTCTCTTTCTATACTCATCTTTCTTGATCTCAGTGCTGCTTTCGACACTGTTTAACATAACATCCTACTTTCTCGCCTTGAGACTGTTTGGAGTTTTTGACACTGCTCTCAAATGATTCAAATCTTACCTCACTGATCACTGTCACTTTGTCTCTCTTAATGGGTATAGGTCAGAAATTGGTCTTGTTAAGTGTGGTGTTCCTCAGGGCTCAATACTGGGTCCCTTGCTTTCACCATTTACATGTTTCCACTTGGTCAGCTTTTAAGATCACATGGCCTCAGCTTTCATTTTTACACTGATGATACTCAAATATACATCCATACCAAACCTGACGCTGATGTGACTGTCTCTATTCTATCTAATTACATCTCTGACATAAATTTGGATGACTCAAAACTTCCTTCATCTTAACTGCGACAAGACTGAAGTCATGCTTATTGGCATCCCCCATCAACTTCGTAAAGTCAGTCCTGTAACCCTATCTGTAGATGGTTTTGTACATGAGCTTAAATCTAAATTGAAAAACCTTGGGGTTATATTCGATTCTGGATTAACATTCGACCCACATGTGCAGCATACTGTCAAAACATCTTTTTTTCACCTCAGAAATGTTGCTAGACTACGCCCTATGCTATCACTAACTGTGGCTGAAAAGCTGATCAACACATTTGTGTTCTCTCACATTGACTACTGTAATGCTCTATTCGCTGGGGTATCTAAATCTACTTTGAACAAACTGCAGTATGTCCAAAATTCAGCAGCCAGAATCCTGACCAGGTCTAGTGCAAGTGATCACGTTACTCCTATTCTGGAGTCCTTGCACTGGCTTCCTGTCAAATTCCGTGTTGATTTTAAAATCCTCATGCTCACCTATAAGGCTCTGCATGGGTTGGCACCTCAATACCCGTCTGAACTATTATCGCCCTACTCCCCATCTCAAAACCTTCGCTCTTCTAATTCTGGTCTCCTTACTGTCCCCCAAGCCCGTCTACATTGTATGGGTGACAGGACCTTCTCCTGTTATGCCCCCAAGCTCTGGAACTCTCTGCCCAAGGATATCAGAGTCACCTTCTCTAATCTCCTTCAAATCCAGACTCAAAACCCTCTTCTTTAGAAAAGCCTTTACTTAACTGGTTTGATTCTTCACCCCTCTGCTTTTCTTAGTACCACCATCCATGGTCTCCTCTATACATTGTAATTGTGTTTTATCTTGTGTATTCTTTTTTATTGTTGATGTCATTCTGTAAAGTGCTTTGAGAAGCAACCTTTAAAAGCGCTATATAAAATAAAGTTTATTATTTTTATTATTATTATTGTTTCCTAGTTCTGTGCATTTTTATATGGTGCAGTAAATTAATTAAGCTTTTAAAGTAAACACTATTTTTCTGCATCAAAAGAATGCCCTGTGGCTACATTTTTACTTTTAAAATAAACTAATACGCAAGAGGCATGTGGAAGTCCTGAGGTCTACATCTGAAAACTAAAAATGTGCTTCTCTCTACAATGCAAAACCCATTAACCCCAGTGAAAAGACAGATTTCACCGAGCTCTGTAACAACCTGCCTGAAGACCTGTTCTTTTAAGACCTGCTTCTTTGTGCTCCCTGTCCATCCAGCATCTCTCTCCATTAGCTGACATCAGCACAAAAAAAAGTCATTTTAGGGAAAAAATAGCATCAATGAAAGCATCCATTTCTTGCAAATATTTCATTTCAGTGATTTTTTTTGTACAATACAGCAGCGCCATCTAGTTTCTCTTTTTCTCTTCAATGCCCTTACCATTCATCCCATCACACTTCGAGTTGCCAACATTAAAGCAGGAGGTTTTCATGTTTGCAGGCAGGACATTCCACCACTTGTATTCATATCCCAGAGCTGGTTCTGTCCCTGCAGGGCACTCCTGACAGGCTTGAGAAAAAGGCAGAAAAGGGACTCGTGAACGAAGATTACGAATACAATTAAAGTACACCCTAGGTTTTTTTTTTATGGATTTTTATTCAATCCCTTGAGATCACAGAATTTGAAGGATCTAAGGTTTCTGAGCAACATCTAGGTCCAATCTAAGAAAGGTTCTTGGATGGTGCTACACCCTCAAAATATACTTTCACCTTTTAATAACCAAGTTTGGACTTCATAAAGATTCTGCTTAAGGTATTTTGTAATATGTTCAAATATTTAAGCATGTCTTTTATCCCGTTTTAATCACTGTATAACTTGTCTGAATTTCATTTATACTGTGTAACTGTTGCACAACTATTCTCATATATTTCTTTTGATGAGCAATTTTTGATTACCAAAGTAGATAAATAATAATAAACTGAAGGGGAACAACTAAACATAATAATTTTTAACAAAGGATTTACGGGATGCATCAGCAAGATAATGTTTACCAAATACAGTACATCACAGTACGGAAATTAGTACCATTACAAGAAAGCATAGCGGTCTTGCGTGCAAACAATGACCACATTACATTACAATACATTAAAATTAATTTAACGCCAAACATACAGAAATGCAGCTATTTATCACGTTTAAAAAACGCGATGCAGTTCCAGAAATATTTCCTCAAGCTTTACAGTTTCTCCAGAGAGCCTATTCTAAACTGAAAGCGGTGTTTTTTCGGTAGTTCCATTAACTATTTTGATTTTTACATATGTTCTGAACTGATAATTAACAGTTTGAAAGGAGACAGTCGTCCTTAATCTTACACCACCTGATTATTGCATAAATGCGATTATAAAGTATATATCAACCTTTAGTTCCGTCAGAGTAAGTGTCAGGGGGACAGGGAGAGCAGGTAGCCGTATCATTGTTGTAAAAGCCTGGGTTGCAGGGAGGACATGGCTTCTTCTCTCCAGAGGGTGGCAGTGTCACCGCGCCCGTCACATTCTCCATGCAGATCTTCGGCTCAATCCACCTGTACATGATCTGGGTCTGCGGAAAAACAAATTACATATACTCCAATCATATTAAAAATACTGTGATTTTATTTCTTTCTGTTAATTAATTTCCTGTCATAATTCCTGTACGGCAAACATAAGACCAATATTCTTTTAAACAGATCAGCTTCAAAACTTTAGATGCAGATTTTTTGTTGTTAGCCACGTCATAGAATCTCTGCGTTAAGTCTGCCCCCAATATTTATTTGTCCTGTGAACCGCTATTAAAATATAAATGGAAACTGTAAACGGAAAGCTAATCAGCTTTGCACAATCTTCTAAAACACTGTGCATTAAACCTGAGAAAGGCCATTAAGCTTTTCACCATTTCAGTGCCTCTTAAATAATCTCCAAAAGCCATTTTGCAGGAATGATCGATTTCCACGTAGCATTATAGCGGAGACAAAAAAAAAAAGAATCGGTTAAATCATAAATAAATCAATTTAAAGTTAAAATAACGCATACCAGTAACGATATATTTTGTTGGGTTTTACAATTTCTTAATTAAGTTTGGTTTTATGTAAAGTAAAATCTATTTTCATTCACTGTTTTATCCACACATTGGAGTGGTGCACATACTGTATTGAAATTTACCCCACTATCTAATTTAAAGAAAAAAGGATAATTCTTTTACAAGAAGGTGCCGTTTCCATAATACAGATACTAGCCAACAGCGCTTATTACAGTTCTTCAGACGTATTAGAAACACAACCGTCTTCAAATCACATTTCTTTCTTATGTGTTAGTGATAAGGGCTTGTTTGGTACAGGTTCTTGTAAGTAAGGAGCAAAATGCAGACGGTCAAAATACTTGTAAAATGTAAATATTAAAAGAAAAGAAACAAAATGAATTTTGAAGCATTATGAATTGATACTTTGTCACAGACAAAAAAAAATGGTGAAACAATGAATATCTTACTTTTCCATCACTGTCACACGGTGTGTGAATTTGGAAGTAATCCTTTTCTGTACAAAATGTTTTTTCTTTACACTCTGCCGATCCCTCTGCTGCAGAAAAGAAAAAAATGTTAACAATAAGCACTTATAAGACAATAAGAAACCTTACACTCAATCCCCTATTTCTAAATAATGCACTGTGTACCACCTCTGACCAGTTTAGAATATATCTTGGATCTATAATTAAAATCGGGTTAAATATTACAATTGCAAAAAAGACCCATGTTAATAGCTATGGTACCCACTGCAGTTACTAGAATTTAAGTGTAAGCATATTCTGTTTAGTACCGCTTTCCACAAAGCAATTAAATATGTTTTAGCGTTAGGTTCACAGATGGAAAACATCAGATAAGCCAATAGCAAAAGCCCAGTACAGTACAGTGTTCCACAGGTCAGCCTCTTAAAAGGATTTACACTGTTATTGGTCTTGTGGAAGACAAGTTCTCATTGTGCGGATTCCAATGCAGTTTGCAAACATGTCACTGAAAATTAAGTTTTAATTAATACCGCAGAATCCGTTTGTAAATCACTCCACAGTCTCTCATGCATCAGAGTTGCTCCTTAATTGTATGAAACTTTATTACGAGCTAGTGAATAATTATATATGAACAACGAACATTTGCTTTATTTAAATGAAAAAAGTTTTTTTTACTGCAGTAACTGCTGAGTCTTTATTCGGACTCAGCAGTAACAGGCAAGGTTGATAAGTTGTCACAAGGTTGTGTGGATGCATGTGACATTAAGGTGGAAATTTAAGGTATTTAATGCTGGTACAATGAGTTGGACAGTGCACCTTTATTAAGGTACAACTCCATGGAGTTCTACTGTTCAATTAAAAACATCTTATAAAACAAAGTTCAGTTTAGTCTGAAACTTGATTTACTGCATTTGTATATGCTATATATCCTGAAACACTTTAAAAGATGTAAATGTTGATTTAAAAAAAATCCAGTCAATACATGACCCACATTCAGAATGTGCAGAAGAAGTATTTGTTCTAAAAAATAAGCTCATTAGAACATCTTACACAACCATGTCCCATTTTCAGTTTGTGTTGGTTTTACTGATAATATTTTTATTAATGAACATTAGCTTTTCATATAGTTCTCTGAATTTGGGTCAAGGAGCAGTGCTCTTTGTTGCACTGGAAAATATTAAAAAGAAAAACAGATGAGCAAATAAGAGTTTGACAGAACAGGCACTGTGACCGATTAAACTTGCATCCATTGACTTGATCATACAGTATGTAACATCTTAAATCATAGCTGAAGATTCTGAAGTGTGACATACACAGTCACATTGCTTCTCGAGTTACTAAAGAGGAAAAAAAAATGAAATGTTGATTGCATATGTTTTCAGAACCATGAGATCAATATGCCATGGAAGCACCTTTAGCAGCAATTACAGCCAAGTCTTTATGGGCAAGTCTACCAATTTCTCTCACCACCATGATGCAAGTTTAGAAGATTCAAGCTCTCTGAAGTTGCTTGGGGGATTGCTTAGGAACAGGAGTTTAAGTCTTTCCACAGATTCTCAATAGAATTCAAGTCAGGACTTTCACTGGGCCAAAGCACAATTACATTCTTTTTAAGCTGCCACCCCACTGTTATTTTGGCCTTGTGCTTTGGATCATTATTCTGCTACATGATGATTTTTTGTCACCCTTAAGGGTTTGTTCTCATCTCATCTTGACAAGCGTCCCAGTCCCTGCTGCTGAGAAGCAGAACTAGAAAATAATGCTGCCACTGCAATGCGCAACAGTAGGGATGGTATTTACTGAGTGATGCACTACGTTGGATGTGTGTCGGATGTATCGGTTTGTATTTACACCAAAATGTTTCAATTTTGTCTTGCTTGACCACAAAAACATTTTGCCACGTTTGCAGTACCACTTACTATAAATGCAGGATTTGAGATGGAGTAGTTTTCTTTTCTGTCATACACAGAAGTTTGGAGAGACAGCTCGATCTAAGCAAGCTCTAAGAGCCTTGAACTTATTAATGATCAACTTCATCAAGCTCCTAAGGACCATTGAACTGTATTTAAGCCATAACTAAGTTGCTACGAAAGGTCCCTGATCTCCATTGAATCTTGGTTTCAAATTCACTGGGGGTCCTTACAGTGATGGTTGTATTTATTTTAAAACTGCAACTGTTATTGTACACAGACAGAAACCACCTAATTCATCATGTCTTGTTACAGCCATTTTGTGCACCTAAATTAACGCAGGGTTTGAAAAATGATTGCATATGTTTTTTTCAAATAAATAATCATGAACTCTAGAGCAAATGGGATGTACAGTGCCTTGCGAAAGTATTCGGCCCCCTTGAACTTTTCAACCTTTTGCCACATTTCAGGCTTCAAACATAAAGATATAAATTTTTATTTTATGTGAAGAATCACCAACAAGTGGGACACAATTGTGAAGTGGAACGAAATCTATTGGATTTTTGAAACTTTTTTAACTAATAAAAAAATGAAAAGTGGGGCGTGCAAAATTATTCGGCCCCTTTACTTTCAGTGCAGCAAACTCACTCCAGAAGTTCAGCGAGGATCTCTGAATGATCCAATGTTGTCCTAAATGACTGAAGGTGATAAATAGAATCCACCTGTGTGTAATCAAGTCTCTGTATAAATGCACCTGCTCTGTGATAGTCTCAAGGTTCTGTTGAAAGCGCAGAGAGCATCATGAAGACCAAGGAACACACCAGGCAGGTCCGTAATACTGTTGTGGAGAAGTTTAAAGCCGGATTTGGATACAAAAAGATTTCCCAAGCTTCAAACATCCCAAGGAGCACTGTGCAAGCGATCATCTTGAAATGGAAGGAGTATCAGACCACTGCAAATCTACCAAGACCTGGCCGTCCCTCTAAACTTTCAGCTCAGACAAGGAGAAGACTGATCAGAGATGCAGCCAAGAGGCCCATGATCACTCTGGATGAACTGCAGAGAACTACAGCCGAGGTGGGAGAGTCTGTCCATAGGACAACAATCAGTCTTACACTGCACAAATCTGGCCTTTATGGAAGAGTGGCAAGAAGAAAGCCATTTTCAAAGATATCCATAAAAAGTCTCGTCTAAAGTTTGCCACAAGCCACCTGGGAGACACCCCAAACATGTGGAAGAAGGTGCTCTGGTCAGATGAAACCAAAATCGAACTTTTTGGCCACAATGCAAATGCAAAACCATCCCCACTGTCAAACATGGTGGTGGCAGCATCATGGTTTGGGCCTGCTTTTCTTCAGCAGGGACAGGGAAGATGGTTAAAATTGAGGGGAAGATGGATGCAGCCAAATACAGGACCATTCTGGATGAAAACCTGTTGGAGTCTGCAAAAGACCTGAAACTGGGACGGAGATTTATTTTCCAACAAGACAATGATCCCAAACATACAGCAAAATCTACAAAGGAATGGTTCACAAATAAACGTATCCAGGTGTTTGAATGGCCAAGTCAAAGTCCAGGCCTGAATCCAATCGAGAATCTGTGGAAAGAGCTGAAAACTGCTGTTCACAAACGCTCTCCATCCAACCTCACTGAGCTCGAGCTGTTTTGCAAGGAAGAATGGGCAAGAATTTCAGTCTCTCGATGTGCAAAACTGATAGAGACATACCCCAAGCGACTTGCAGCTGTAATCGCAGCAAAAGGTGGCTCTACAAAGTATTAACGCAAGGGGGCCGAATAATTTTGCACGCCCCACTTTTCATTTTTTTATTATTAGTTTCAAAAATCCAATAGATTTCGTTCCACTTCACAATTGTGTCCCACTTGTTGGTGATTTATATCTTTGTTTGAAGCCTGAAATGTGGCAAAAGGTTGAAAAGTTCAAGGGGGCCGAATACTTTCGCAAGGCACTGTATTTCTTAAAGAATACTGTAGTAATTAACTGGTGTTCAGAAGGGACAATTTCAGAGCAATAATAAGAAACTGATGGGATAAATCCAAAATGTTCTACTTTCAAATTGTTAAAAAAAGTAATATTAATGTGATCTTGTCAAAGCTAAAAATTGCTGAAGTGAATGAAGTTAGAATTCTGAATTATGTTAAAGAAGAATAGAAAATATCACGTTTATAAACTGAGGTGTCAGTACCTAAAGTACCTCACATTTGTAGCAATGTTAATAAAACTTACATGAATACTCATTCTCCTCATTGCATGGTGTACAGGAGCTAGCACCTTTGCCAGAGTGGGTGTTCCTTGGACAAATATCACAAGATGACGACCCTGGTTTTTTACTGAAGGTCCCAGGTTTGCAAGGAAAGCACTCGGATGTGTAAGCAACTCCTAAAAATGAGCAACCAGAACAAGAAAATCAGTTAAAATGGCAGAAGGAGAAATCATATCTGAGTTTTTATCTTATGACACCTTTGGGCAAAAGGCCCTTGTCATCAGTCGGTATCCAGATTATTGGATTACAGATTCTCCTTTGCAAAGTATCCACACCGGTAAGGGTACCTAATTTAAAAGCAAATATTTAACATTTAAATGAAGCAAAAAATATAGGAGTTGGACATCAGACATTAGATCTTAAAACGTGCTTACAGGGTTTAAATTTCAGTGTCTTTCCTGAACTTCAAAATCCAGTATATTAACAGCATGCTTTTTCCAAGAGTCCATTCTGGCATTTACCAAAGAAAATGATTACTCTAGACTTTTCTTATTCAAACATTGAAACTTGAAAATTGTGCATTATGAAAAATCTGAACTTCTTATGCTTATAGATGAGACAATGTGAAATATATACACACAAGACTGTGAACACAACTTGCTGTTTTTGTTCCCTTCTACAATGCATGTGAATACTCTTGAAGACCCCAAGGTGATCTTAATGGCTTGTGGTAAGTTCTGCCATGGCCCACTGTGCCTGTGCTCCACTATAAACAGTTTATATTACCTTGTGGCCTGGTTGCATCAGACCTCAGAAGCTAAGCAAGGCTGATTCTGGACAATACTCGGATGACCAAGGAAAACCAGAATTTCCAAAAACCTATTATACCCCAGCCTGCAGATACCAGACACTGTGCTGTAGGAGGTACTGTACAGTACCAAGCTTCAGGCCAAGGTCCTGACTACTTTGTGATGAAAGATCCCCAAAACTTGTAAGACTAGGGTTGTGATCCCCAGCGTCCTGACTAAATTCCACTTTCAGATTTCGTTAATCTAGCAGCCTATATCAAGTTCCACTTAATTCAATTGGTGAAGCAATTCTCACTTGCCGTCGCACGTTAGTTGGTTGTGTACTCCAGTTCTGGATGAAATGTGTAATGTTTTATACAAAGTATGTTGAGATAATCACTATAACAATGCAATGAATTATTATTCATGGCACAGGTATCTGAATATACTATCAAACATTGGATAATTCAGATGATACTATCCTGGTCTAGTGTTCTACTTTTTTTAAAAACAAAAGCCATACATACACATAAAAGACAATACATGGTCATTTTTACCTTCAATCTGAATGTTTTTCAGTAGCACTGGCTTGACGATTTTTGAACCAAGTAAAATTCCAGTGGTTCTCCAGTACAAGATATTTGTGCCAGACTTCAGATTTACCTACAAGACAGCCAAAAACATGTCAAATTGAAATATTAAAAAAAAAACTTGAACCAAGCTGAACTTGTAATGACTTATTTTTGTTTCCCAAAGTAAACAATTCCTTCACTGTTCCAGTTTTATAAATTATTCATTAGATGTTCTGTGGTAAGACAAATGTCACACAATGCATTTACACTTGAGCAGCACTAGAGGGAACAATTAGTCTTAAAATGGAAATTTTAAGGTCCCTTCAGGAGAAACATACAAGACCAGCAGTTCTTTGAACAGCATTTATTTGTGATTCACATAACTAAACAAAACCTCTTCATGAAGGAATATGAAATATCAAATGGAAGTTAATTAAAAAAAAAACAATAATCTGTCAGGCTCTATAAAGATCAAGTTCTTGTTACTGTATATTTGCTAAGGTTTCCACATAAACTTCATGCATTTAGTTTCTGTTCAAGTTTTCTTTACTTTCGCATTACCTACTTTCAGCTAGATTAACTCCTATCTCATTTTGCTCCATATGCATAACACTGAGTTTATCCCAACAGTTAAAAATCTATAAGAAAAACACTCACAGTATGAGTCCCCCATTCTCCATTGCTTGTTAGTTTGATCCACTTTTGATCGGATGTGTCCATTTCCTGACACTGGTCATTCTGAATCTATGAGGCAATTAAATCAATTTAAAGCTCATTATTTCATTATTGCCTTTTCCTTTAAGGTTGCCTATCTTAAATTGCCCTTCTTAATTCATAAATGTAAAAAAAAAAGAAATATGCAAAAAATATCAAGATGCATGTATGTTTGTGCATCATATACATACCTACCATGGCATTTATTACAAACTGGACATTTTATGAGAAAGATGAGAGCAAATGAACATACAATGTCATCAGTTGGTCCTACTGTTTAAATACTGTGATCAATGCAGTTTTACTATAGATCTGCCTGTACTTGTAACTGTCATGCAGTAAATATTTCATGGGTTTATGTAAAAGCTATGATATATACCATAAAGGCAGAAATGTATGGTTCCTACAGGGAGTATTTTTATCCTTCTATCCAATACCAGTAATCCACTTATCCCAGTGGGAGTGGCAACAAGCCCTAGCCTTTATTGGAAGAGTACAGGTACACATCCCTGCTGTCCTCTAGGAAGGGATGACCAACAGCAGGGCCATGAGGCAATGCAGGCAACAAAACCTTACCAGCACATCTTCAACCCCAAGAAACTTGAAACATCACACAGAGTTTGGAACTGAATCTGCATTTTCTATTATACTTACAGGTTAATTTACTAAGCAAATTAAAACTTTCACTGGACAAAATTTACATTAGTAGAACATTTCCCCTCCCCCCATTTTCATTTTCAGAGCTGCTATTGGGTTTTGTTCATGGTGATTCTAGGTGCAGACATGAATGTTGCCCTAAACCATATACAGTCCATGAGATCCTGAAGCTGACTTGCTTTTCTCATCTTATGCATGTAGGTTTCTTATTGATGTGTGTCTTATACCTGCCTGCAATGCAAATTTCTCATCTGGGACAATAAACTGAGTAAATGCATGTGAGTATAACCCCCCACTTAAGAAAATAAGCTTTTTGTGCATTTTCTTTTTACTTAGTAGTAATGGTATATTAATTGGACAGCTCTTATTTCCACATCGTGTTACTTTAGAGAAAAGAAAGGTTTAAGCTTAAGAGGAGGCAAAAAATACAACTATTAGATCAAGTTGCAAACCTGTGGGCACCCTTTAACAAGTTTTGTGAGTGTCTGGATACAATAATAAAAATAAACTTTATTTTGTATAGCTCCTTTAAAGGTGGCTTCTCAAAGCGCTTCATAGAATGTCAACAACAATAAATAAAAGGAATACATAAGATAAAACATTTACAATATACAGAGGAGACCATGGATGATGGTACTAAGAAAAGCAGAGGGGTGAAGAATCGAACCAGTTAAGTAAAGGCTAAAGAAGGTTTTGAGTCTGGATTTGAATGAGTTTAGAGAAGGTGACTCTATGACATCCTTGGGCAGAGAGTTCTAGAGGAACCTGTTCCACAGGAGAAGGCCCTGTCACCCATACAATGTAGATAGGCTTGGGGGACAGTAAGGAGACCAGAATTTGAAGAGCAAACATTGCGAGGTGGGGAGTAGGGCGATAATAGTTCAGACGGGTATTGAGGTGCCAACCCATGCAGAGCCTTATAGGTGAGCATAAGGATTTTAAAGTCAACACGGAATTTGACAGGAAGCCAGTGCAAGGACTCCAGGATAGGAGTAACGTGATCACTTGCACTAGACCTGGTCAGGATTCTGGCTGCTGAATTTTGGACATACTGCAGTTTGTTCAAAGTAGATTTAGATACCCCAGTGAGTAGAGCATTACAGTAGTCAATTCGAGAGAACACAAATGTGTTGATCAGCTTTTCAGCCAGTTAGTGATAGCATAGGACAAAGTCGAGCGATATTTCTGAGGTGAAAAAAATATGTTTTGACAATATGCTGCACATGTGTGTTGAATGTTAATCCAGAATCGAATATCACTCCAAGGTTTTTCAATTTAGACTGAAGCTCAAGTAAAGTACCATCTACAGATAGGGTTACAGGATTGGCTTTACGACGTTGATGGGGGGTGCCAATAAGCATGACTTCAGTCTTGTTACAGTTAAGAAGAAGGAAAATTTTGAGCCATCCAAGTTTTTATGTCAGAGATGCAATTAGATAGAATAGAGACAGCCACATCAGTGTCAGGTATGGTATGAGTATCATCAGTGTAGAAATGATAGCTGAGGCCATGTGATCTTAAAAGCTGATCAAGTGGAAACATGTAAATGCTGAAGAGCAAGGGGCCCAGTTTTGAGCCCTGAGGAACACAAGACTTAACAAGACCAATTTCTGACCTATACCCATTAAGAGAGAGAAAGTGACAGATATCAGTGAGGTAAGACTTGAACCATTTGAGAACAGTGTCAGAAACTCCAAACACAGTCTCAAGACAAGAAAGTAGGATGTCATGGTTAACAGTGTGAAAAACAACACGGAGATCAAGAAGGATGAGTATAGAAAGAGAACCAGAATCAGAAGCTATTAGAAGATCGTAAGTGACTTTGACCAGGGCCGTTTCTGTGCTGTGAAGGTGACGGAAGCCAGATTGGAGGGGTTCAAAAAGGTTGTTTGTCATGAGGTGGTTATGTAACTGAAGTGTGACAGCAGGTTCTAGAATTTTTGCAAGAAAGGCTAAGTTGGAGATGGGGTGAAAATTAAGATTGTCGAGAGCCATGTTAGGCTTTTTTGACATGGGACTAATGGCAGCAGTCTTGAGGACCGTTGGTACAATGCCAGTGCATAAGGCTGGGTGGTCTGGATGTGCTTCTATTTTATAATCAGGTTTCTTAAGAAAATAAGAGAGGAGAATGTGATTAAGCCCGTGTGGAAGCCAGGAGTTAGCCAATCCAAACATATAAAAAGCCAGTATATCTGCTCCAATAACATGGCTCGATAGCATCTCCTGTTCAAAGTTAATTCTTAAGTCCACTGGGTTGACTTTGACTTTGAATAATTGAACCTGGTCCCCTTTTCATCTTCCGTGTTCAAGACTAAAAAGGTTCAGCCTGTCAGCAGAGGGCATTCCTTCAAGCCTAGGAAGGTATCTAGTTGCTCTGGAACTGGTCCAGAGAAGAGTGACAAAGCTTTTTGGTGACCAATACTGTACACAGTATTCCAATTACATTCTTAGAAATGTAATTTTAACCGTAGTTTAAATTCTTGCTTTTAACTAATACATCTTCTAAACAATTTTCTGATGTAAATTGTCAACCAAAAAACCCAAGTTTTTTTCCATAAAGCATCATCTTCAAGCATGTAAACATCCATTTGTACTTGTCTACATTAGAAATCCTCAACCAGGTGTTTGCCTAGTTTTGAATTCAAAATTGAAGGGATGTTAAAATTATTTCCATCACAGGTCACAAACTTACTTCCTGGAGTGCCTGCTGTCTTCTGATTCTTGTTGTACTCATGTTCTTGGTGACAAAGTTGGTCCAATTATTTCATTAACTGCATTTACTCCTAACTTGACCCTGAGGTTATTTATAGGTATTTTTGCTTTTAATGTGGTGATTGTCTTGTGTAAACAACCGTGAAGGGAGAGTAAGAAGTATACCATGTCTAATTTAGAAAATAATTAGGTTAATGGTCTTAATTGGATTTTTTTTCAATCTGACCAAGTCCTCCAGGAACAGAATTTAAGTATGTGATTTTCAAAGAGTTCTCCACTGTTCACAAGTATGCTGCCTGGCATAGAAACACTGGAGGCACACAGAGTGGCTATGAAAAGTTGTCAATTCCTTTTTGTACTTATACAGTAAGTAAAGAATGAAACAAGGACAGGTCTTATTTTGTTCCATTACTGAAAAAAAAAATCAATCTAATGGAAAGTTGCTCAGAAAAAAGATGCTATTAGACCATGTCATCAGGCTGAAATGCATGCAGTGCAACTTGCATGGCTGCTGGAGGACCAATACAGTTACAACTTCCGACATCGATTCCTCCAGTGATGGAACTGTAACCTGCCTCAGTGCCAGGCAGCACGATGAGAACAGAATGTTTTATATCACTCTGCTCTGACAAATTTAGAAACACAAGAGCCTCTATTAGAGGTGACTGGTGCAGTATAGAACCATTGAATTTGGAAAGTCAGCATTTTCATTTAGAGCATCCTGCTTCCTGAATACAATACCATCTACTATAGTTAGACAAACATCTAATTTTAAAACATTTAAAAATGAAGTGAAATCATGGCCTAAAGCAAATAAATCTTCTTTCTATTAATGACTAATATGTCATTGAACTTCTTAAGTGATTGTTTTCTAAAGTGACTCTGGCAACTTCTGATAATTTAATAAATATAACACATCATTATTTTGTGCACTTTACCATTAGTAATAACCAGTTATCATAATTTTCATTTTGTTGGTTGTGACCTGCCCAGGGACTACAGATTTAAAATAGTACTTTAGCTAAGTACTGTATGGTTCATTTTAAGAGTAGGCCTAAAATAAAGTCAAATACTCCATTGGACCGTATAAAGCCAAGCACAACAGAGGATTAATTCAGGGATACTGCCAGCTGCAGTGAGAAATTGTCACTCTGCATTCCATGTAGAGGCATTTATAATCTGAAGCACTTTTATCACGTCAAATTATGCAGAAACAGGCCTAAGCTTGACAAGCAAAGCAGTAAAAAAAAAATCACAAGTCTAAAAATAAGATCTTTAGTTTTTTCCAACATATAAGTCAAATGCAAACTTACAAAAAACTCAAAGAAAACGTTGTTGTCCACATATTGGTACTCAAAGGACACTGAACCTTGTTTCTTAAGGTGCACTGCGTAGATCAAGGACACGGTGCACTCATCTCGATTGGATTCCAAGTAATTCCCTTGAGGAACCCAGGTTGAGCTTGAAGAAAATACAAGTCATCAGAGAAAACATTCTAGGACAAACACAAAACCTAATTTTAGAATTAGTAATTAAGATTTAAGATCAGTAACAAAGTGCAGGAGTTAAACTAATCAACTCTTACATTTTCCTGGATTCGTTTGAAAACTTTAAATGGAGAACAGAGTAAAAAAAATCATGCAGTACGTCAGTCACTTCACAATAACAAGCAGTCATTTAAAAAGAACAACAACAAATTACTCCTTTTACAAGCATTTCCTCTTTTCTTCACTAAAAATATATATAAGAAAAACTATCCCCACATATTTATCCTGCTTTACAGAAGCTGGAATTATCATTCTGCTTCCATGTAGAGGCACTTACAATCTGTAGCACTTCGGTGGTCAATATTTTATCGCATTAGAAAGATGTCGACATGTAGACACCTACTTGTTACAGGACAAGGCCTCATCCCCCCCTGGGCCACTGTCCATATACGTAGCTAAACTGGTGAATCCAGCAGGTATGTCATCCCACTCATCGAAGCGGATCCCACTGCCCAAGGAGTAGGTTCCTGCAGCACACTGAGTGCACTGCTGCGAGGACATTTCCAAAAACTCTCCGGCTGCACATGAAAAGGCTGAAAACAAAGAACATTCATGTTTCAAGTAAGGCATAGGTGAAAAGCCAAAGCAATTTCAATATAACTTTTAATTAGTCCCAGTACTACTTGCCATATGTAAAAAATATATATATATTGAAGAATTTAATGTGGGGGAAAAAGCAACATTAACTAGGTCAGATAAAAGAGCTGGTCTGCAGGCTGCACATGTTTGCATGCCGACACAAACCTGCAAGGATCAGTTCTATCGAAACGCATGATGATTTGTTTTTTGTTGAAATATTCCTTGATGAATGATTGTGTATAATACAGAACCATCCAGCCATTTTCTAAACTGCTTTATCCAATACAGGGTCACACCAGAAGCAATGAGCGAAAGGCATGATGCATACTGGATGGGAAGCCAGTCTATCATAGGGCTCATAGACATACACGCACACCAGGGCCAGTTTTGCCCAAAACCAATTAATCTACTAGTATGACTTGCCTACTCACTATAGGTAAAACACAGGGAGACAGAATGCCAGGAATTGAACAAGGGCCCCAGCACTGTTGGGCAACAAAACTAAACATTCCTGCCACTGTACTGCCCCCCCCCCACATCTCTTACCAGGAATAAGAAGTTTTCTGATAATAGATACTTCAAAGTGGATACAATTCCACTCATCTTTGTTTGCTAATGGCTTGTTTGGGAAAGAGTTTTGAGATCCTGCATTTCAAAATATAAACTTATTTAAACCATCCGTAATAATGCCAAAGAAAGTAATAGCATACAGTATTACCATCTGTGATGGAACCTTTACCCTGTCATGAATGATTCTTTCTGGGCCCTATGCAGACGACACGATCCGGTTGGTGAGGAAACAGTAGGGAGAAAAGCATGCAGGAGAAGGGTATGGAGACAGAGGGGCGTATCCAAGGTGAGCAGGTGTCCGGGGGAAAGTGAGTCCAGGGCGAACAATCAAAGACGAAATCCAAGACAGGGAATCCAAAACAGAAGGTAGAGTCCAAGGCCAGGGGATCCATCCAGAGAATAAAACCATGAACTGGATCAGGACTGGCGGGGCGGGGAATCAGGAACAGAAAGTTAAAACCATAACGGAGCCAGACGCAGCAGGACCCTGGGCTCTCACGAAACGGGATTCAATGAGGAACCTCGGGTGACGTCTGTGTCTGGCTTTTAAGGGGGAACGGAAATCAGAAACAGGTGCAGGTAATGGGGCAGAACAAGGAAGGGCTGGAGCGCCCTTAAGAGGAGGAGTAGCGATTGTAACATACCTCTTAACTTGCTTTCAGAGGTCCTTAGTTATCATGGTCAATTCCTTCATTCTTTGACTAATTGACAAAGGAACCTCACAGAGGTTTTTATTCAGAAATCATCCATTTATTTTCCTAAAAGCCACTCTAACCCATACAGGGTCACAAGACAGCCAGAACCTAATCTGTCCAGCTACGGGCCAAAGTGGTGACACCAGTCCATCGCAGGGTATTATAGCTTATAGCAGTTCTGTATTGTTAGTATGTCTGTATATCTGCTGACTGTGGGGAGGAAACCAGAGGAAATCCACGCAAACACCGGAGAACAGAAACACCATGCAGATGCACCCCAGGTCCAGAATTGAACCCAGGACCCCAGTGCTGCAGGCAGCAATAGTTATCACTGCACCACTGTGTTGCTCATTTTGAACACAGACAGTCCACTCAGCTAATTGTAGAACTCATTAAGGGAATGTTGTGCAAATTTATTGAGGTTTTTCACAACAAAGGGTTAGAATACTTACGAAAGAAAACCAGATGTTTTTTTTTGGTTTTCTATTTTAATTAGGTTGTATATACACAACAGATGATTTTTTATTCCAAAGTATCAAGATGGCAAGCTTTTAAAAAAATGAAAACTGTTCAAAATTCTAAATACATTTGCAAGGCACTGCATATGAATACACACATTCCTATACAAAGTACATGGTCAAACAGTGAGCATAATCATACCTATATCTAATGTATACTAAACTGCAAAGAACAACATTTCTTAATACCTGCAGATCATTTTGGAAGCGAGATTTCTCTCAAGCTATTAGTGCTAGAGAAAAGCACTGCAATTGAATGTTACTGTTGAATATTTTACATATGCCCTCTACAGATAACCACTCTTCTTAGTCTCCAATACAATTCAGATGAGAAAATGTGTCCCACAATTTTATCTTCTCCTTTGTTTTCTTTATGGTGCACTTCATTCAGATAAAACCTTTTTGTGTTTCCATTTGAAAGTTATTGTTTATGGTCTTTTAGCTAAGCCCAATATAAGCACACCAGAACAAAATACAAAGAGCTGCTGTCTTTATATGCATAGGACCTACAGATCAGCTGGATTGAAGTATGAATAAAATGATGTGCAAGGTCTAAATGGTTTCTATCAGCAAAGCAGTTTATGCTACTAAAAGTTCAATCTGGGAAACTGTGAACTAAGCAGTCCATCTGAAGACCAGGCAGATATAATAATAATAATAATAATAATAATATTAATAATAATAATAATAATATTACCAAAGACATGGCACACATTAAGTGGAATTCTTAAATTCAAAAAGAGTACAAATAAGAAAGTCATGGTCTAAACCAAACTGAGCCAATCTCTTGAAATATCTCTTGAAACTCAAGACTTAAAACAAAGTTAAAAATGCTAGAAAAATACATTCATATTGAGCTCAGCTTTAAGCCATTTCCTATCATTGTGTACTTATCTCCTTCTACACAGTGGTGCCATGCTTTTGTGTGAAAGTGTGCAGTTCTTTTCTACAACTGGCTTCCTTGTTCATCTCCTTTACATCCAAATATCAATTAAAACTGCCTATGGAGAAGGATCATTCTTATTCTAAAAACAAAACAGCATAAAATAGAGAGTCAGTAAGAACAAACACTATTGCTTCCAATTTCCATTTATGTTTTAAGGCCACTAAATGAAAACACAGACTGTACAGAGTATATAATGTTTCCAATAAGGGAAAATCTTTATATAACATCTGAATTAATGCTATCTATTAGTTAAATTATTAAAGTTTTGCATTCAGAGAAAATTACTTAAAACGTTTATTTTCTATAGTGCATTAGCATTGACTTCAATTCTCCAAGTGCCGTACATCCAAGCAAAACAAACAAAATAATCAGACTTTTGTTAATCTTATGTCAACATAAGAAAATGAAACTTACTGCATTCTGTGCCACTAACAGGATCAGGTAATCCTGTACAGCTTCCCTCCTTGTTGGGTATGGCCACCCGCCATCGAGACCCTGTGCTGTCACATTCTGTGTACTCGAAATAGTAATCACGCTGCAAAAACAAACAAGAGAAAGACATTTAAGTTCCAGTACACAGGTGATTACCATGAAACACATGCATGAGGCTCCAAGTTTCATTCACATTGCCTTTTGCTTGACAAATTTCTTTCAATACACTTAAAAGTCCAAAATTGCATTGGTTTAAGGATATCGTAGCAATTATGTACATGTTTGTTGTCTAGATGGCCAGTACAGTTGTTTTTTCCAGGTTCTAGTTGTTCTAGAACCAAATCTTATTTGACTCATCTTGAACTGATTAAGACCTAAAAAAAAAAAATCCATATGTGGCTAAGAAAATAATTAGGTTAAATGTTTAATTAAATACTCTGGGTGTAACACAGCCCTTATCCCCTGTGGGATGAAGTATTAAACCACTGGCTACAAGAAAGGCAACGATTTTCTCCATAAGAAACAGAAGTGTTGATGCAGTCAGCCCCTTTTCCAGGCATTAAAGCTCAAGTTACTCCTCCTTTACTTTTTACTTCGCCAGCAGCAATTTCACTCTGCAACTCACAACTGGCAACCCACTAAAGCTAAGCAGGTGTGAGCCTGGTCAGTACCTGGATGTGAGACCTCCTGGGAAAAGCTGAGGTTGCTGCTGGAAAAGCCCTAATGCCCCAGTATAGCGACGGGGAGACTAGACTGTAAACAGGCACCGTCCTTCGGATGAGATGTAAAACCGAGGTCCTGACTCTCTGTGGTCATTAAAAATCCCAGGGTGTTTCTCGAAAGGAGTAGGGGTGGTACCCTGGTGTCCTGGGGCACCAGGACAAATTCCCCTTGGCCTTTACCAATCATGGCCTCCTAATAATCCCCATCTATGAATTGGCTTCATTACCACTGATAGCTGATGTGTGGTGAGCGTTCTGGCGCACTATGGCTGCTGTCGCATTATCCAGGTGGGGCTGCACATTGGTGATGGTGGAGGGGAGTCCCAATTACCTGTAAAGAGCCTTGAGTGGAGTGTCCAGAAAAGCACTACAGGTATATACAGTAAGTGTAAGCAATTATTAATTATTATTATTATTTGAGTCACTGAACAGGACAGGAAGCTGCACTCCTGCACTGAGACTAAAGAGGCAAGGAAAGGGACACGTCCCCCCCATATTTAGCATCAAGTTTCAGACTGATTGTTTCCCACTTTTCAAACTGAAAAGAAAATGTAGAACTTTCCCAGATTCCAAGCCCCAAAGAAAAACTTTTGAAACATCATACCTGGAAGATCTCTCGGCCATTCATGTATTTCCTCAGTGCTGAATTAAGTCTAACTTGTTTTGATTTGTTTTAAAGTTTCTTAAGGTGCTTGTCCTGTGAGGTTGGTAACATTCAAAATTCAATTAGCTGTTAATTATACAAGTACACAGATCTTACTGGAACCCTAAGTTTCCAGTCCATTAAGCAATTTGTAATCCATACATTACCTAGAAAAGCTACTGCCTGAAATTTAAGAATTAGTACATACTGTAGATTAGTCACAAAACATCATCAGGCACATCTTCTGTTAAATACTCAATTTAATACCCAAACATAATGAACTATTTGTAAAGACTGCATTTATTGTTGCTCCAAACCTTAACAGTCTTCTCTAAAGTGTGCTTAAATGATCCTTTACCACATGAAACACCTCCGAATTAGAACAAAATGAAACCTGACAACAATTTACTGTAGCTACATTTCTTAAATATCATGTTTCCATTATTTATTCAAATGCTTGCACATTTCAAAAGTTTGAAATGTATCCTGTCAGCTGATTTATTTTCAGATCATTTTACATGATAAAAGGATGCTACATAAACTCACCAGTGCATCTGTCTAAAGTAGTTACTGCAGGTGATTGTTATTCCCATCTTAATTTACATAACCAATACAAAGAACATATCAATAATTGCAATCATTTGCATTCATGTCCTGTAGCCTTTATGCAGATATAATCATTTTATGCAAATGAATTTTCAAAAACCCTATTGGCTTTCAGAGAATAACATTATTAGAGTTTGTTTTAAAACATAACAAGAACATTTTTTAATACTGAGGATGTCAGAAATTTAGCCAACAATTCAGGAGTTTGGTAAATAGAAATGTCTCATTTACATGACAAGACTGTATTGGACATTATGATCACTAAGGCAGTTTTAGTAAGTAAATCTTTAATTAACAGTTAAAGTTTGATAATGGTCTCCTATTCTATACAGTATCTCCTAGTAAGACTATTTTTGTGACCCCAAACGTGAATAATCAGGGTCTATTTTTTTCTTAATCAGATATTTGAACACCTATACTTAAATTAGGAATACTACTTAAAATTATTCCAAGGAGAATATACATAACATTTTCCAAAATCATATAAAAAATACACAGGGTCCCTAAAATAAAATGCTCAGCTTTATCGAGAAGGATGCTTGCTACTATCACTTTGGAAGAAAGCTGTGCTAGCACAGCCAATGCACAGGTTTAAGTGTCAATACAATTAGTATTTTCAGGACAGAAATCGTGGCTAATGGCTTATTACAATCATTAGCAATATCTGTGCAGGCTACATCCCCAAGACTGATCAGGCGGTTAAATTAGTCTTCTGAAAAGCTGTACTTTTTTATCTCTCCTGCTACACATTCCATATGGCAACATGAATTAGGTTTTTCACATCTGTTAACTTACATTAAAATTGTAAATGGTATGTGAGAAGGAAATTGTTTTCATCCTTAAAATATATATTTTGCAAAGCATCATAAAGGTACTTTTACCGTGTTAAGGACATACTCATTCTTAATATAAAAAATATTTATTGTTAATGGACTCAGACTAATCAAACAGCAGTGAATGGATTAAAATAACTAATCAAAAATTGGAAATATCTGCTTTCATCAGTACAGAGGACAAAACTGCACTAACATTTTCACTTACTATATTTAGCTTCTATCATTTCAGATTCCTTCCTGTTGGATCTTTGTAGACATGCCGAGTCTGAAGCTACTTAAGTTACTAGAAAAGTGAACATGCCAATGATGCAGAAAAAAAGTAAATACTCGATTCAGACATACAGTAAGGATTCACAAGAGATACCGAATCTGGTATGCAAAGTGTTACAAGAAAATGCTGTGAAAGAAAAACCCTGAAAATGCAGGTAACCAATATCCTGTTGTGAAATGATTTTATAGATGTTCAACACATAGTGACAGATTTTTACCAATGTCTGACATTCATATGGTACACAACAAAGTACAGTAAATTACTTGTTATAAATCAACTTTACACAAAACTATATGTAAACTATACTATACTATTTAAATATGGAGCTGTACTGTATAAGATTTATCACAGAACACTATTCCATCCAAAATCAGACATTGAAAGTCCTTCTGCAATTTATCTTTATAATGATGGTATACAGATGTTTATTTTTTCACCAGTCTTTAAGTAAATCTTTTGGATCCAATGCGCAACAATTTTAACATTAAATAATATCCAATACAGATGACTACAAAATAATAAAACAGGTGCACATTGATTCTCCCCTGGTCTACAGGGTAAAATAAACCATTTACACTACAGAAAACCCTCTAAAAAAATAAATCAACATCTGCTTAAAACGCCTGTACCATGAACACTTAAAAGAAAGGAAATACACTAGCAACCCATCAAGAGATAATTAAAGAAGCAGAGTGTTAGCCTGCAGTGCTAAGATGAACCAAAAGCTGCATTTGACCAACAGGCTGAGGAATTCAAGAGCAGAACCCAGAGAAAGCTTGTACACTGACAAGGAACGACAGGGACTGGCAAAGCAGAATGAGAGGCAAAGGCCGATGAAAGAGTGGCTGCAGGTGGGGCTGCAAATCTGGGGAAGATAGTGAATGCAGCGTCAAGGCTGATCCAGGCTGAGTACCTGAATTGCCTTGCAGGATTACGGGCTATAATTGTAGATGCCATTGGTCCAGTCATCCCTTAAAACAATAGGCTACAGACAAGCAGAGCAGGTTCAGGGCAGACAGGAAATCTTTTGGGCAGGACATCAGGTTGAGTATCTTTCTGAGACACCAGCTATTACCCAGTAGGGAAGGAAGGCAGCTCAATTACTGAGCACCGGATCAGTGGCAGATCGAGATTTACATATCCTAAACATGACAGAATTAATATCCGTTAATTGGAGGGAGAAGGTTGGGACTCCTGAACACGTCCAAACAGCCCAAGCTAGAACTTACAGTAAGTACTCATGAAAATGCGCCCGGTTTCTGATGACCTCTGGCTTACCCAGGAATAACACAGGCATGATATTTTAATATGATCCAAACAAGTACAACCTGGGTAACTAGACTTCCAGAGTGGAAAACCAAGTTTTGTTGGTTGTACAGGTCAATACCAGCATGTGGTGGAGAACTCCCACAATTCCATCTTCCAATCGTTAGCACTCCTTCAGGTCTTGCAGTACACAAGCACCACTTTATAGATCTAAACAAACCAGTGGTTTGCAGTTAAATACAGTTTTAGCTACATCTTGTCTTTGTTGGAACAAAAAAGAAATGTTTATTGAGGCTCCTGAAGCCCAAGGAAAAGCTCAATTCACATAAATTTCTCCATGTGAAATTTCACCAATTATATCACTTTGTAATGATGGCTGCTAAAATTATCTTAACAACAATCTGTTTCCAGGGACAATACACAGTCACTAAATTGGCTGTACTCAATAAACTGTGACCAGAATAAAGTTAATTTTTAACTTTAAGTCTACTAACTTTTTTTTAACCAATACTGCTTAACAGTTCTAAACCATTACTTTTGTAATGAAAAGCAGGAAGTTAACTTCCATTAAAAATATTACTTATTTAACCTCTTTTTTCATTTGTATTCCCACCAAAACTGTTAAATAATTTTAGCAGAAAAACATTCAATTCATCCACAAAACTTTAATATTTAGGCAGAGGATTTTTAATTTTTTTTTTTTAAAAAGTCCCTGGGAACTATTATAGTGTGTCATTTGCAATGCTTTTGATGTATAAA